CTTTCAGTCCTAAGACCATCCATCCACTAAATGCAGAAAGATACAGTCTAGTCAAGGAAGCCAAAAAGCAGTGTGCTGCAATGCTCTGAAAATTGCCAGGTTACATCCTACCTAATAAAAGAGTAATATGTAAATTAACCATCACTCCACAACCCACACCCACCAGCCAATCAGAGCGAGTATACAAATAAACCCCAACCAATGTGGCTACAGCCACAGAGAGTAGGAGGGAGGCTTGGGTTTCCCAGGCAATGGAAGAAGCCAAGCTTTCCACCTGCCCTTGCTGCCTAGGCCTCCATTCAAAGCTCCATTCAAGGATACAACGTTTCAATTATAGAAGGTAAACAAATTCAAATAGAAATGGCTGCTGGCCATGGAGCAAGCAGGCTTCACTCCAGGCTACAAAGTTTCAATTGTAGAAGGTAAATAAATTCCAGATACCAGGGTCTCTGCTTGGGTCGCCAGGGGGCGTGGCTGGTCTGTAAACCACAGCACCCCCCCCCACACACACACCCCCGCTCAGGCCACCCCATACTCCAAGGGGACCCCCCACTCTGATCTAGGAGACCCTTCAGGACGAACCAGCCGACTCCCACCCATGCACCAAGCCTCTATCCTATCTAATAAAAAAGTAGATAAACCATCCAACACACAACTGCCCCATGTGTCAAAGATAGCTGCCCCCATGTGGACACAAGATGGCCAGCAGGGAAGGGCAATTGGGAGGCACCAGACCTGCAAGGGATAGCAGTTGAGAGGGACCAGAGCTGCAAGGAAGGGCAGTTGGAGGCATTCAACCCTGCAGGGGAGGGCAATTAAGGGTGACCAGGCCAGCAGAGGAGGGAAGTTGGGGGCAAACAGGCTGGCAGGAAGCAGTTAGACATCAATCAGGCTGGCATGGAAGTGGTTAGGGTGTGATCAGGCTGGCAGGCAGAAGCCGTTAGGGGCAATCAGGAAGGCAGGCAGGTGAGCAGTTGGGAGCCAGCAGTCTTGCATTGTGAGAGGGATGTCCGACTGCCCATTTAGGCCCGATCCCACTGGATTGGAGAGGGTGCAAGCTGGGCTGAGGGACACCCCCACACACACACTGGGCCTCTGGTTTTAAATAAAAGAGTTGGTAAAACCTCAGTGGGCAACATGGCTTTGTTTCTGTTTATTAGCAAAGCCAGTATTTGCTGTGAAATCTTGAAACCAGTCTAAAAATTCAGTTAACCAAGAAGGGAGGCCTCATGCTAGGGATGCAGCTGCTCCATGAATAATTGGATAGCGGAAAGATCAGCTGAGCAGGGGTTAAAAACGGGATTCTCACTTTCCTGATATGGAGCTAGCCACTTAATTTGTGGAGATCTCATTTTCTTAATTCTAATGTGTACATTGAACAAGATGGTAATGTAAGGTCATGTCGACCTCTAAAATCATAGACTTCAAGATTTCACTTCGTGGTCCTTTCCTTGTCTGGTTTCTCTCCAGCTTCTGCCTTACTAAGTGATTGCTTCTACCCAATAGAATAAGCACCTTGACGAGTTAAGCATCATTACTGAATAGTTTCATTCTACTATGTAGTCTCCGTATTATAATTACTCCAAAGCCACACATATTGACAAAATGTTAGCAAAACTATAAACTTTTGTTTTAAATACACAGTATGCAGTTGGTTGCATTTTTTAAGGATAGGAAAACACACCAAATTAGCGATGGTTTTTCTAGAGTGCTGGGGTTATTCAGTGGTTATTTTCCCCTGTAAATTCTATGTAATGTAAAATATCTTGTGTATAGCATTAAGAGAGGAAGGAAGAGGGAGAGATAGAAATATCAATGATAAGAGAAAATCATTGATTGGCTCCCCACTGGGGATTGAGCCCGCAACTAGGACATGTGCCCTTGACTGAATTGAACCCGGAACCCTTCAGTCCACAGGCTGATGCTCTACCCACTGAGCCAAACCAGCTAGGGAGTATATAACATTCTTAATGGTTTTATAGGGACATGAATTATTTTAATGAGCATGGTCCTGGAAATGAAGTCAGGAGGCCAGAGTTTTAATCTTGCTTTCATTTGTCACATGTAGTGTGAAAGTATTGCACACTTTACTAACTTTACTTCGGTGTTGTGAGGCTCAAATGAGGGACGGTCTTGAAAAATGATTTAAAACATAATAAAGGCCTGAGAAGAAAGTGTTGCCATACTAGGTACAGAAGAATTACTTGCTGACCAGGTAAACAGTCTCTGGGATGCTGGTGCTCCTCATTCAGGATTGGACAGTGGTTGTTTCTTTACTTCCAATTTGCTTGCCTGTGCTGGCTGGTGGGCAGAAGCTGCCTGAGATTGCCATTTGGGAAGCAGTGGGGGAAGGGACGTACATGTGAGTAGAGATTGAAAACCAAGTGGGATGCAGAAAATACCAGGTAGACCTATATATTGCAATGTGTTGCCTTTTACCAGCAACTTATGCAAGCTCACCAGTTTTATGTACATGAGGAATTATAACAAGTCGGTAAGGCAGAGATTGGGTTAAATAAGCAGGATTCAAAATCAGTGATGTACCTAAAGTTATGCACATCAAGCCAGTTCTTGGCTTTGAATTTAGTTATTAAAAATTATACTGGAAAAAAACAGTATCTGCAAGCTAACCTCATGAGGAAGCAGGATAAAAAACAATGTACAAGAATAATGAAATCATAATTTATTTTGAATCAGTAAGTGATCATTTAGAATGACCCTCAGGGAGATCTTGTGGGGCTGAGTTAAGGACCTGAGGAATAGCAGGAAAACTGTTAATGCTGGTTCTTGGCTGAACATTATAATAACCTGGGGAGCTTAAAAAACTATGTATGCCAGCCGAAACTGGTTTGGCTCAGTGGATAGAGCGTTGGCCTGCGGACTGAAGGGTCCCAGGTTCAATTCCGGTTAAGGGCATGTACCTTGGTTGTGGGCACATCCCCAGTGGCTGGGGATGTGCAGGAGGCAGCTGATCGATGTCTCTCTCTCATTAATGTTTCTAACTCTCTATCCTTTTCCATTCCTCTCTGTAAAAAATCAATAAGATATATTTTTTTAAAAAAACACAACTATGTATGCCAGGGCCCACCCAGGCATGATTTCATTTGTCTGAGATGAGGCCTGGATTTTTTTTTTAAGTTCCCCCAAGTGACTCTAATGTGCCTGTGAGTTTAGAAGATCGTGGAAACAGAAAGTGAATTATTAGACTGGAAATGATCAGTTAGCCTGCTTTACTTGAGCAGGAGTCGTGCACTGGAGATTAATAAAGGGTCTTGATGCACAGTGGGGAAGTCATCATTTGATTCTAGAGGCAGGGCTCAGAAGGAAATAAGGCAATGGGAATGGTTGTTGAGAAAGTTCTGGCAGATCTCAGTAGTTAGGTCAGCAGCTCTCGAGGCTGAGGGAAAAGCATCATCTTTGCTTGCCAGAATGCTCCTTGAGGATATAGTTCTAAGTTCACAAAGCATTCATCCTGAATCCTAGACGGGTGACTAGCAGAGGAAGTACTTGATATGTTTGTCCATCTGAATATGGGGTTCTAAGGACATGTCTCCCTTGGTCCAATAATGCCCTTTGTTTCACTAAGTGCAATAGAACAAAAGGGTACCAGTCTTGGGCAGTTCTGTCTCCATACAGGCAATATTAAATCCTTGGAGATAGCTATCTTTCCAAGATTGGGACTAGGCATTTAGGAAGACAAAGTAGACACTATTTTGAGGACTTACCTTTTGGTGGTGACTACCTTTGTTGAGTACATACTGTGTGCTAAGCCCTGTTCTCATCTCATTTGAATATACAGTTGGTGAGATGGCATTCTTTTTTTCATATATTTTTATATGAAGAGACAAAGTGAAGCTCAGAAGTTAAATAACTTGTTAACAGCCAAAGCTAGTGATTGGTGATTTTGGAATTTAAACTCAGGTGTATCTAACCACAAAGCCCAACTTTGGCCTAAGCAGTACCTGGCACATAGTAAGTGCTCAGCAATATTTATGGAAGGAATTAACGAATGCTCCCTCTTCCCCCTGTCTTCTCCATTCGCTTACCCTGGCCTCTCCTTGGTTCCTCTTCTGCCTTGGCCTGAGGTTTCAAAGTAACTTTGGCCGAAACCGGTTTGATTCAGTGGATAGAGCGATGGCCTGTGGACTGAAGGGTCCCAGGTTCGATTCCGGTCAGGGGCATGTACCTTGGTTGCAGTCGCATCCCCAGTGGGGATGTGCAGGAGGCAGCTGATCAATGAGTCTCTCTTACCTATGTTTCTGGCTATCTGTCCCTCTCTCTTCCTCTCTGTAAAAAAAATCAATAAAATATATTATTTTAAAAAAAAAAAGAATAACTTTTTTTTTTTTTTTTTTTTTAAGTAACTTTGACCTGCATTGAAAGGTTTGGAAGAGGCTGCTATTAAAATACAGTGCCCCTTTCCTGGGAGGAAGAGTTCAGCCCTCCTCTGACACATCAGCCTGATCACTTCTCCATCATCCATCCATACCAATGCGAAGGCCTGGAATTGGCCCAGGCAAATTTGTGCTGGGAAGAGGAGAGTGGGGGAGATGAAGCCTGCCAAGGGGAGAGGGAAGGGAGAAAGGCCAAAGAGTCGGGAGACGCAATTATTCTTGCAAAATGTTCAAAAGGGATGGCCCATCCATCTGCAGAATTTAGCAGACATCAGTGCCCTGCCTGGTTTGGGACTTTAGGGCAGGCCATCCCGGACAGAGGGGCACTGATGAGCACACCCGCCCAGGGGCCACTGTGGGGAGCGGCCTGGTCCGTGCAGCGGGCGGGCGAGAGCTCGGCGGCCATTGGCTGGCGCGGGCGGGCGGGCGGGAGCTCGGCGGCCATTGGCTGGCGCGGGCGGGCGGGGCGGGGCGCGCCGCCGGGGGGACTGTTTGCTCCTTCGGGCTGTAGATGGAGCTGTCCGGCCCCGGCGAGGGGGAAGGCGCCCGGAGAACGTTCTTCTTCTCCCTGGCCGGCCCGAGCGAGCGGGGAACAGCACTCCCAGGATGCAGTTTGTGTCCACACGGCCGCAGCCGCAGCAGCTGGGCATCCAGGGCCTGGGGCTGGACGGCGGGAGCTGGAGCTGGGCGCAGGCCCTGCCCGCGGAGGAGGTCTGCCACCAGGACCCGGCGCTGCGCGGGGAAATGGCCGAGGGGATGCCGCCCATGCAGGTGGGTGCAGCCCCAGCCCAGCGCCATGGCCGCGCCGCCGGGCCGTGGGGGCGGGGCTGCGAGCTCCGGGGATGGCGGGGGGGGGGGTACCCCGGGCGCGGAAACAGGAGGGCCCCCGGCGGGTCGGGCACGGGCGGGCTCCGGCGGCGGGCGGGCCTCGAGGCAGGCCCGGCCCCGATCCCGGAACCCCGGCCGGCCGAGGCCGAGGCCGCGCCGCAGAGCCGCAGGCCCCCAGGCCGCGTGCCGCCGCCGCCGTGAGCCCGGGCCGGCGCCCGGAGTTGGCTCCGCGCGGCCGGAGGGCCCGGAGCGCGTGGCCGCGGGGACCCCACCCGGCCCGGCTTCCCCTGTGGGGCCGGAGGGTTCGCCGATCTCACCCAGGCCGCCTCCGCAGGGTCACACGGTAGCCACTTGGATGAAAAGCTGCATTAAACCCATGACGGTCTTTCCCCAAATGCAACAAGGAATTCCCGTTCCCCCGCACCCGGGGTGACGGGGCCGCTGGGAGGTGACTTTGCCTTCTCTCCTGCGGTTGGCAAACTTGGCTGCATATTCCGATCACCGGAGCAATGGGTCTCCCGCCGCCCAGGCCTCATCCCAAACCAGCTCCATCGGTGTGTGGGGTGGAGAGTAGGCTCCCGTCATTTCCGAATGCCCCGCGGAGACCTCGGCGTGCAGGCCCCGCCGGGAGCCCCGCTCCGGGAGGGACTGTGTGCACAGGCCGCGGTCCTCTGAGAGGCCTGCGTGGAGCGCGGGAGCAGGCCGCGGGCAGACCCCAGCGCCCCTCTGCCGATGGCCTGGTGCTCCCAGCCGGTTCTGACCCGCCGGTAGCCCGGTGCTGTGTTTGATCATTCTCCTGTGTTAGGTCTCCAGACCTCAGAAAAGTTAGCCGGGGCCTTCCCAAACTTCCACGGTGAGCCCTTGCTGCCTTCTGTGGGCCAGGCAGGAGAGAAGCCTAAAGGAGCCCGTGTGCAGAGCTTTGATGGAAATACCACCGCCTCTTCCTGAGCAGGGTCTGGGGCCCGGAGTCCTGGTCCTCTTGCTCCCGGGTCAGTGATTTCCTGGAAGCCGTGGCATGTTCCTCTCTGGCTGTCACGGCTGCTCCAAGTTAGAGAGGGCAGTTGGCATGCCTGTCCCAGGCCTGCCCAGGTCACCTCTAAGCAACAGGTCTCCACTTGGCCCAGCCTGGGGCCTCTGCAGCAGCAGCAGCAGCGAAGAGAACAGAAAATGACACCTCTCCCTCTCCCTGGTGGTGAGGAGAGGCCGTTATTAGACCCCCCGGGGTCCAGGAACTGCTGGGTGCTGGTACAGGGTGGGGCCAGTTCCTGGGTCACCTGTGAATGGTCACCCACCTCACTTGGTCATAAGATTCAGCTCTCAACCTGCACCCATGGGGCACCCCCCCCCCCCAGAGCCACAGGGTCCCCCTCCCCAGGAGGCAGGGCGGGGGCCGAGAGGTCTTCTCTTCCTCTCAGGGATGTCTCCTCCTCCCCTCCTCAGGGAGTGACACTTTTTTTGGCAAACCTATTCTCATTCTGGAAGGAATCTGAATCAGTGGTTATATATGGAAAAAGGCTGCTCGTCTGCTCTCTCGCTTGGGCTGTGACTCTGGTGCGACTCTGCTGGGAAGGTGTCAGCACCCCTGACCTGTGGTCGCACCCAAAGTCGCTCGCTCCGGGTGGCAGTGAAACCAGGTGCTGTAGAATGACCAGCTGCCTGTCTTTCAAGCAGAGATCTTCATGAGTGGCCCTGACCTGCTTAGAATTGCCTGGGAAGGTTAGAGTCAGGCGGCTTACATGAAAATTCTCACCTTGAAACGGAACACATGAGGCCACGCTAAAGAGTGCATCACACCTGGCTGGTGTGGCTCAGTGATCGAGTGATACCCTATGAACCAGGAGGTCACGGTTGGATTCCTGGTCAGGGCACATGCCCGGGTTGCCAGTTTGATCCCCAATGGGGAGCGTGCAGGAGGCAGCCTACAAATACTTCTTTCTCATCACTGAGGTTTCCGTCTCTCTCTCTCTCTCTCTCTCTCTCTCTCTCTCTCTCTCTCTCTCTCTCTCTCTCCCTTTCTCTCGGAAATAAATAAAAATATATGAAAAGAAGGAAGAAAAAAAAAAAAAAAGAATTCTTCATTAAGTCTGGCGCTTGAGGAAAGTAGCTGTTCTATTCAAAGAAAACCATGTGTGACATTTTAGGCCAAAGGTCAAAATGGGTGAACCAGTGACCAGACTGACTGGTTGGGAATGGGAAGGCTGGGTGGGTGTTCTCTGGCACTATTGCTGGGGACGTTCATGAGCACCATAGCCCGCGAGGCAGCATGAGAGTCTGTGGCATTGGATTCATTGGGCTCTTGGGCCACTCTCCCCCCCAAACACAGGGTCCCACTTTCTCCCTCTTGTCACTTTCTCCCTCTGCACCCAGGCTCAAGAATGGGACATGGATGCCCGGCGGCCTATGCCTTTCCAGTTCCCGCCCTTCCCAGACAGAGCGCCCGTCTTCCCTGACCGCGTGATGAGAGAGCCCCAGCTGCCCACGGCCGAGATCTCCCTCTGGACCGTGGTGGCCGCCATTCAAGCCGTGGAGAGGAAGGTGGATGCCCAGGCCAGCCAGCTGCTCAATCTGGAGGGACGGACGGGGACGGCCGAGAAGAAGCTGGCCGACTGCGAGAAGACGGCCGTGGAGTTCGGGAACCACATGGAGAGCAAGTGGGCCGTGCTGGGGACCCTGCTGCAGGAGTACGGGCTGCTGCAGAGGCGGCTGGAGAACATGGAGAACCTGCTGAGGAACAGGAACTTCTGGGTCCTGCGGCTGCCCCCGGGCAGCAAGGGGGAGGTCCCCAAGGTATGTGGTGGAACGTTCTCCCTCCAGGAGTTAGCCTCCTCCTGGACCCTGCACATTTCTGTCCCTGACCGTTCCCCTCCCTGAGAGGTCTGGGTGTCTGCAAATCCCTGAAGCGTTCACGCTTGGGTTTTCCATGTGGCACCACACGGCCGTTTGTCATGGGTTATCTTTGTGTGTGCTTTTTGTCTGAACGTGGCTGGACGTCAGGCCCAAACCATGCTGACCGGAATTCCTTGAAAGTCATAGCCACTCCCCTCCCGTGTCCCCTCTCACAGTTCCTATTCCACTTGCAGGTCCTTCGTACTCTGGTTCCTACTCCATTCGTGTTCCCCTGGCTCATCAGCACCTCACTGTCAGTCCATGACCTTGTGTCAAGCCCACCGAAAACACTGAGTCACTCCCAGTGACGTGCAGCCAGGGCGTTCATCCATCCGTCCGTCCGCCTTGTGCGCTCTGCCTGTTCTGTTCCCAGGGCCTCCCTGCCCTCTGTCACTCACTCCAGGAAGGTACTCCAGCATGTCCCCCTTTTCTTCGGCACCATCAGCTCTTCCCTGTCTGTGGGACTGACCAGCTGTGCAATTGAAAACCCGCCTAACCCCTGCGTTTCCCTCCAGCTGGTGCCTTGGTTCTCTGCTCTGCTACAGAGCAGAATGCCTTCGACTGGTCTGTATGTCTCCAATTCTTGCTTCTCGCTTTCCTTCCCTCCCTTTTTTACCTTTTTATTGTAGAAAATTAAGACATATACCCAAGCAGATAGAAGAGAATAATGAAATCTCACAAACCCATCATCCAGTTTCAGTAATAATCAGCTCTTGGCCAATCGTGTTTCATTTAAATCCCTACCCGTAGCCTTCTTCCATTTTATTTTATTTTATTTTTATTTACTTTTTAAAATATATTTTATTGATTTTTTTATAGAGAGGAAGAGAGAGGGATAGAGAGTTAGAAACATCGATGAGAGAGAATCACCGATCGGCTGCCTCCTGCACACCCCCTACTGGGGATGTGCCCCCAACCAAGGTACATGCCCTTGACTGGAATTGAACCTGGGACCTTTCAGTACGCAGGCCGACGCTCTATCCACTGAGCCAAACCGGTTTCGGCATTTTATTTTGAAGCAAATCTCAGACATTAATTATTGTGTTTATAAATATTTTGATATGTATTTCTAAAAGGTAAAGACTCTTTTTTAAAATGAATAATCTCAATATTTTTATCACCACAGCAAACGCTTCAACCTCCTCAAATATTCGATTGGTGTTCAAATTTCCAGTTATTCAAAAAATGTTGTAATCTCCTTCACATCACCCATTTGTTTGTTGGTCTATCCATTGTGATTGCTTTGTTTCCTAAGTCTTTTTTGAATCTGTAGGTTCCTCTTTCATCTCCTTCACTTTTCCTTGCAATTTCTCTGTGGAAGAAACTGGGCCATCCATCCTCTTGAGTTTCTCGCTGTCTGGATTCTGCTGCTGCTTCCTCCGTGGTCTCATTTAATGTGTTCCTCCATTCTTCGTGTTCCGGAACACTGGTCGTTTGATCGTGCTCCCTGGCACCCACCCCATCAGGCCCTGCTATCCCTCTCCATCCTCCTGGTCTGCCAGAGCTCAAACCCCTGCAAGGTATTAAAGCCAGTGGTGGGTCCTCAGCCTTCATCCTCCTGGCCCTGTCGCAGCCTCTCCTGGAGGTGACCTGCCCCTCCCCGAGGCCACCTCTCTGGGTCCTTTTCCTACCTCACCAGCTGCTCCAGACACCCATTTCACCGTCTTTCCCTACTTCTTGAGTTTGGAGTGGGCAGGGCTCTGTCTGACCTCCAGCTCATTTTTCTACACTCCCTCCCTCACGATTTCATCCAGAGTCAGGGTATTAAACGCAATCCGTGTGCTGTCAGCTCCCAAACGTCATCATTTCTTCCTGCTCTTTATCTTGTCCACACTTCCTCCAGTGCCAGATTGACATTGGAGGTGTCAGTAAATACCTTAGGTTTAACATGACCCACTCGAGCGAACACTCTGCCTGACACCTGTTCTGCCTAAAGTTGTCCTCATCTCTGATGAAGACAACTACATCCTTCCACTTACTCAAGACAGAGTGTTGGGGTCACACTCCTTCCTATTCCTCACAACAACTTCCAATATTTAGTAAATACCATCTGATTTTTCTTCAAAATAATATCCATAGTCTGACCATTCCTGCAACCTCCACCACTCCCACCACCCTCATCTCTCATCTGGGTTTTGTCATGGCCTCCTGCCTGCTCTCTGATTCTGTCCTTGTCCCCCACCCCATATGGTGTATCCTCAGCAGAATAGCCGGAGGGATCCTTTTCAAATATCAGGCAGTCATATTACCCCTCTGCTTACGACTCTCCCCTGGATTCCCATCTGATTCGGCCGTAAGCCCCCGGTTTGCCAATGGCTGTCTCTCTCTGACTACTTTTCTGACCTTATCTCCACTCCACCCCTCTGCCCACTCCTTCCTGGCACAGTGGCCTTTTACCATTCTGCCCTCACATTGTCCCATCCATCCCCCTCAGGGGCTTCCCTCCACTGAAAAGTTCCTTCCCTGCCGAAACCAGTTTGGCTCAGTGGATAGAGCATCGGTCTGTGGACTGAAGGGTCCCATGTTCAATTCTAGTCAGGGGTATGCACCTTGGTTGCAGGCACATCCCCGGTGGGGAATGTGCAGGAGACAACTGGTAGGTGTTTCTCTCTCACCGATGTTTCTAGCTCTCTATCCCTCTCCCTTCCTCTCTGTAAAAAATCAATAAAATATATTTAATAAAAAAAAAGAAAAGTTCCTTCCCTCCCTGTCACTTCCACCAAGGTCTGCTCAGTCGTCACCTGATCAGCGTGCCCTTCTGTGGCACCAGGGAACCGCGTCTCTCCAGCCCCAGAAGTCAGGCATCTTCAGTATTGACTTCTGTTTTTATCTTCTTGGTTGGTTCTCTCTGACCACAGTGTCTAGTCTGCTTGCTTCCCTGTTGTGACTCTGTGCCTATATTAGTGCCTGGATTCCAGTCAGTCGGAATGCAAAAAATTCTTACCGAGGGACTCCCGCTGGAGAGCCCACACTCCCATGGAAGGGGCCGGGTCTCCCAGGTCTGTATCCGCAGAGGTCATGCCCAGTGATTTCACCAGAGGCATTGTTAGACACAGGGTAACGGAGCCCTCATAGGAACTCGTTGGAATACCAGTGGGCCCCTAGTTCCTCCCTAACGCAATCCACAAAATTGTTTTTCAGAATGGCTTTTTTAAAAAAAAAAATATATATATATATATATATATTTTATTGTTTTTTTTACAGAGAGGAAGAGAGAGGGATAGAGAATTAGAAACATTGATGAGAGAGAATCATTGATCAGCTGCCTCTTGCACATCCCCTACTGGGGATGTGCCCGCAACCAAGGTACATGCTCTTGACTGGAATTGAACCCAGGACCTTTCAGTCCATAGGCCAACGCTCTATCCATTAAACCAAACCGGTTTCGGCCAGAATGGCTTTTACAGTGCCTGTGCAGCACCATGAGCATCTCTCACTGAGCCAAACCGGTTTCAGCCAGAATGGCTTTTACAGTGCCTGTGCAGCACCATGAGCATCTCTCACTGAGCCAAACCGGTTTCAGCCAGAATGGCTTTTACAGTGCCTGTGCAGCACCATGAGCATCTCTCACGGTGCCCTATGGTTGACCTCAGTGCTCTGCCCTTACGTGGCCTGGTTGTGTGTTCTGTGCGTTGGATAAGTATCAGGACTCCAGAGTTGACAAGTGCCATCACGGAATGATAGAATGGTTGTGGGATCTCCAGTCAGAGGGCTAGGATTTGGATCTTTGCTTCATACGTACTGGTTCCCTTACCTTTGGTCAAGTCGGTATTTTGCTATTGCTGAGCATCCTTAGAAAGAAGTGAAGTTTAAATGAATAATCATCTAGGAAATCTCCAGCTGGTCTCTCTGAGCTTGTGCTCTCTTCTAGAAAACGAAGGTGATCATATGCTTCGAGCATGGGGTTGTGAGGATGTGTTGATTTTGCTGATGGGACAACACTATGTGTTAGTATTCTATTGCTGTGCAAAAAAGTTGCCCCCAAGTTTAGCAGCCTAAAAAAACCTTCCCCTTTTTTGTGGGTTACGAATCCAGGAGCAGCTTAGCTGAGTGGTTCTGGCCCAGAGTCTCATGGAGCTTTTGACTGGTGCTCCAGCCATCTGCAGGCCTGACTGAGGCGGGAGGGCCTGCCTCCGATATCACTCACTCCTTCGGCTGTGGCAGGAAGCCCGAGTTCCTCCCCACGTGGGCTTCCCACGGAGCTGCTTGGGCATCCTCCTGGCATGGCAGTGACTTCACCCAGAGCGAGCGAGTCAAGAGAGAGACTAGGATGGAAGCTGCAGTGTCTCTCATGACCTAGTCTCAGAAATCACACACCATCCCTTTTTCATTGTTTTTTTAGGAGACAGTCACTAAATCCTGCCTACACTCAAGGGACTATCAAAGAATTTATGGACATATCTGAAACCCCCACAACCATAAAGCTCTGTGAGAATATAGGTTCTTGTTCCTCGCAACTATTGTAATTCATTGTGGACTCTTGGCTGTGCTGGATGCATCCTCTTTGTCAGATTCAAGGAAGGCTGTCGGCTCGCTGATCCTTTATGCCTCTTGGATTCTGTTGTGCCTGTTCATTGGTTTGCAGATAATTTGTGGGTAGTTTTTTTCTGTCCAGCTAGAATGTAGGCTCAGGCCATGTCTCAGACTTCTGTTGTGTCCTGACATAGCAAAGTTTTCAAAAGTGACGTCCATTTCCAGCGGTGAGAATATGATTCTAGGATGGTGACCATCCACAGAAAAGGTAAAGTGAGGCAGAGGAGTTGTGATGTCCAAAAAATAATGAACTTGGTTTTGGATACGGTTAGTTTGAGGTATTTAAAAAGTGATTAAGCCGAAACCGGTTTGGCTCAATGGATAGAGCGTCGGCTTGGGGACTGAAGGGACCCGGGTTCGATTCCGGTCAAGGGCATGTACCTTGGTTGCAGGCATATTCCCAGTAGGGGGTGTGCAAGAGGCAGCTGATCGATGACTCTCTCTCATCGATGTTTCTAGCTCTCTTATCTCTCTCTCTTCCTCTCTGTACAAAAATCAATAAAATATATATTTAAAAAATAAATAAATAAATAAATAAATAAATAAATAAATAAATAAAGTGATTAAATGGAGCCACTCAGAAGACCGTTAAAATGTGAACTATGAAGGGAGCAACGAAAATTGAAGGGTGTCCTCTGCAAAGAGGTAACAGTTGAGGTTGTGAAAAGAATGAAATTGCTGAGGGAAGAGTGAAGAAACAGGGAAGGGCAAGGGCAGGCCCTTGGGTGGAAAGGAAGGAAAAGGAAGGCGGGAAGAAGACATGAGCCACGAGGGCAGGAGGCAGCGTCGTTGTGGAAACCAAGCATGAGAAAAATTCCACTGAGGCGGTGTGACCTTTCAAAGGTGCAGGCTAACAGCAGGAGACCACGGATGACCTTCTGGGGTGTAGCTCCAGAGAGTGGGGTTAGTAGAGACACTAAGAGGTTCCAGGATGTGTGAATTGTGAGGAAGAAAGCACAGAGGGTGTCTTGGATGTTTGAAGTGGAAGGAGAAGGTAGAGTCGGTTGAGGTAACAGCGTTGAGTAGGGTTCTCCTGTGGTTGGATGGCCCTGAGGGAAAGCCAGTGGAGGGAGACTGAATGGCCATTTGGGGTGGGTGTCCCAGGCAGGAGGTAGAGGAGAAATGAAGGGCGCATAGGGAGGGATTTGGCTTGGCAAGAAAGGGAGCTTGCCAACAGCTCCCCGAGATCAAGGCTAGCCTGGGGGGCAGCCTGGGGGGCGTGGGGGAGAGTTTGAAAGAAGCCTCTCAGGGGCACGTGACTGAGGCTTCCAGAGCAGCCTGAGGCGAGTGATGTGAATGTGTGAGCGCCATCTGTGGAATGTGGGGATTTTTATCCAGCGGCAGGGAAGCAAAATGAAGAAAGTGGGCTGGATGGGCTATTCCTGTCGTGCGGCTCGCGAGCCACATGCTGCTCTTTGGTTCCTGGAGTGTGGCTCTTCCACAAAAACCACAACCTGGGCGAGTCCATTTTGAAGAAGTGGCGTTAGAAGAAGTTTAAGTTGAAAAAATGTGGCTCCCAAAAGAAATTTCAATCGTTGTGCTATTGATATTTTGCTCTGTTGACTAATGAGTTTGCCAACCACTGGGCTATTCCAAGTTGGGGACTCACCCAGGTCTATTGAGGGCCCAGGGAGTCTGTTTCTCAAGATGGCTGGTGAGCTGTGATCAGCACACAGGTGTGTGCATCGTGCCCATGCAGGAGGCCCTGAGGGCTGTGAGCACTGGTGCACGGGCTGGCATTCCTAATTTATGGGAGGACGTTGCCCACCTACCACACTGTGCCCCGGTGAGCGACACCCAGGGGGCTGACTCCCATGTGCGCACAGGTGCCATGTGGGCCCGCTGTGGCTGTGTGTGCAGGCAGGAGACTGGTGGACCAGGCTTAGAGCCTGCGGGAGATCTGAGGGGTTGGATTTCAGAGAGAGGGTGCAAGGCTGGTCCATTAGGGATGTGAAAGTGGTGGGAGGTAAGGCCCTGTGGTCAGCGAGGGGAAGTTCTGTTATTAAAATCATGGAAGTGAAACCATTTTGTACGATTCCGTCCCAGGTGAGGCCATGCTGGTGAGTGACAGGCAAGTGTCCTTGTCAAACTGAAATAACAGCTTAAATAACAGATGAGCCTGCCTGGGATACCGAGGGACTGACAGTAGTCGGTGGGTGACTCAGGCTACAGTGGAATTTCCTGGTACTGGCAACCACGATTCAGCACATTCAGCAAATGTCTTGATTTCAAACCTTATGCTTCTAGATGCTTGGGACATAGCTGTGAACTCGAATGCCTTTAGCTGTTACATGGGCAGTGACCAAAAATGTCACCGCATGCCCAGAGGTGACCCGACCAGAAATACAGGTTTTCTCACAGGGTTTTACTGTGTTTGGCTCACCGATACCCGCTCAGAACTGACCACACCCCTGTCTCCCTGAGCGCCAGAAGCAGCGCAATGACTCCAGCTCTGCCTTCATGTACCCAGGACCCTAAAAGAGAAATTACAGAGAATATGGTAAATGCTTAAAAAAAAAAAATAAAAAAAAAAAAGGAAGGCAGTGTTGGCCATCATTATTCTGGAAGCACCGGGTCAGGAACAGAATGGACTGACCACACTGAAGCAGAGCGGGCTGGGTTTGGGGACGGGGAGCCCTGGAGAGCAAAGGCCGGGCTCCAGGGGCCCCAAGGTCTGAGAAGGGGAGGGAAGGGAGGTACCGGACATAACTCTCGTTGGCCCAGGTTCCGGTGACTTTTGTCGACATCGCTGTGTACTTCTCTGAGGACGAGTGGAAGAACTTGGACGGATGGCAGAAGGAGCTTTACAACAACCTCGTGAAGGAGAACTACAAAACCCTCATGTCCCTGGGTGAGCACCCCATCACTCCCCCACCCCCCCGCCTGCCTGCCTGGCCGTCCTAGAGCGGGGCATGGCGTGCTTTCAGCCCACGTTCACACTCCCGGGCCGTACGATATAAGACTCAATTTGCTTATAATGCACAGGAGATGGAATGGTTCCTAATAGGATGAGAATGAAAAATGCAGGGACAGGACTTATCCTAGAATCGAATGCCACCACTATTTTGGAATACGGTCGGAAGCGCCACATCCCAGAAGCCTCGATAAGCCACAGTGGGCCTGCTGTTGGCTTTCCAAGACCGACTGTGTCCACACCAGAAATTGGGGTATAAATGGACACGTTTTCAGGTTCCTTGAGCCAATGTGGATCACGAGCCACATGTGGCTCTTTGGCCCCTTGAGTGTGGCTCTTCCACAAAATACCACGGCCTGGGCAAGTCTATTTTGAAGAAGTGGCGTTAGAAGAAGTTTAAGTTTAAAAATTTGGCTCTCAAAAAAAATTTCAATCGTTGTGCTGTTGATATTTGACTCTGTGGACTAATGAGTTTACCCACCACTGGCCTAGGAGATTGATTACCTGACGAGCTCACATAACGACCTCCACCGAGGGGCACCCAAGCAGGGGGGAGGGGAGAGGGCTGCCAGCGCCCTGGATCATGACCCCTTGCTCAGCCTCACTCAGTCCCTCCTTCCTTCCAACTCACTGCAGACGCAGAGGGCCCTGGGCCCAAGCCGGAGGCCCCCTCCCAGGCAGAGCCCCGGGAAGAGCCTTGCGTGTGGGAGCAGCGGAACCCGGAAGAGAGAGAAATCCTGATGGATCCTGACACAGGTGATGGCCGCTAAAAAAACCCAGGTCCAGGACGGGAGAAAAGCCCTGCCCCCTCTTATGTCCCCCCTCACCTTCCCACCTCAGTTCAATAGGAGCTTCTTCTTCTTCTTTTTTTTTTTTTATATATATATATTTTATTGATGTTTTATAGAGAGGAAGGGAGAGAGATAGAGAGCCAAAAACATCAATGATGAGAGAGAAACATCGACCAGCTGCCTCCCACACACCCCCCACCGGGGATGTGCCCGCAACCAATGTACATGCCCCTGACCGGAATCGAACCTGGGACCCTTCAGTCCGCAGACCGACGCTCTACCGCTGAGCCAAACCGGTTTCGGCTGGAGCTTCTTTTTTTAAAATTGATTTTTAGAGAGAGAGAGGGAGAGAGAGAAACATCAATGAGAGAGAAGCACATCAATTGGCTGCCTCCTGCACACCCCCTACTAGGAATTGAGCCCACAACCCAGGCACGTGCCCCGACCAGGAATGAACTGGTGATCTCTGGATGTATAGGTCCACGCTCAGCCACCGAGCCAAACCAGCCGAGCAACTGGGGCTTCTTTATCTTATTTATTTTTTTAAATATATTTATTGATTTCTCACAGAGAGGAAGAGAGAGGGATAGTCAGAAACATCGATGAGAGAGAATCATCGATCAGCTGCCTCTTGCACACCCCTACCGGGGATGTGCCCGCAACCAAGGTACATGCCCTTGACCGGAATCGAACCCAGGACCTTGCAGTCCAAAGGCCGACGCTCTATCCACTGAGCCACACCAATCTCGGCCAGGGGCTTCTTTTGAGTTGTTTGTGGGGCTACTTCTGCCACTGTTGAAATTTGGTGGCCACTTACAGGAAGAGAGTTCAGGCCTGAAAGCCCACCAGGGCGCTGGGTTACAGCTGTGCAGCTCTGGACGCCCAAGCCAGCTGGCGGGAGAGAAGAGGACCAGGCAGGCTGGGGCATCCAGGCCTGACGGTGACCTGCAGGGAGCAGCCTGAGACCTGAGAGCAGCCCCACAGGAGGGCGGGAAGTGGTGTGCATGGACATGCAGGGTTTTTTTTTAGTTTTTTTTAAAAATATATTTTATTGATTTTTCAGAGAGGAAGGGAGAGAGATAGAGCACTAGAAACATTGATGAGAGAGTAACAGTGACCAGCTGCCTCCTGCACACCCCCTATTGAGGGTGTGCCCACAACCAAGGTACATGCCCTTGACCGGAATAGAACCCGGGCCCTTCCAGTCTGCAGGTCGATGCTTATACACTGAGCCAAACCGGTTTCGGCTGGACATGCAGTTTTGCTGGGGGCCTGCTGCTTCTCGCTCATGTGTCATCTCCAGTATCGTCGTCCATTCTCACACAGAGCCCCGCGTCACAGGCAGACTTGCTACCCCTCAAGGCTTTTTCCTCACCCAGAGGGAAATGCGGCTCCTGCAGCATCACCCCAGGGCGGCCTTCACCTGGGCTGGAAGGTGCTGGGCTTCCCGCCCCCTGTGCCCTCCAGGCCTCCTCTCGGGCTTCAGCTCTCCTAAGCGGAGTTGGACCAGGTGGAACCTGTGCTCTGCCTTATCATATAACTGTCGCCTGTCCGTGCCTGTGTTTGGCATTTTTGCTGTAAGCCTCTTTGCTGCAAGCATTTTTGCCACATTTGTTTTGCCACACAATTGGCCATAGGCAGCTTCACCACAAAAGATCAAATAACCGGCTGGCATTTTGGTTTATGTTTGGCAGACTTCACGTATTTAAGATGATTGTCAGTTGGTCTCATTTCTGCATTGACAAGGTTCTCACAGTGTTTGTGTTATTAAATCTTCTTTTTTAATTGTTATTGATTTGGGAGAGAGGAAGAGAAAGAAACATTGATTTGCATTTCACTTATTTACGCATCCATTGATTGATTCTTGTATGTGCCCTGACTGGGGATTGAACCCGCAACCTTGGTGCGTCAGGGTGATGCGCTAGCCAACTGAACTACCTTAGGCCAAGGCCTCTTCATTTATTTTTTCTATTTTTTTTTTCCTTCTTTTGGGTTAACTGATCAATTTTTATTATTCCATTATATCTCTTGTATTGAATTATTATTTATATACATTTTAAATTTTTCAGCATTTACCAGTTTTTCCTTCTTTTTAAAGCATTTATTTTTAATTATAGTTAACATACAATATTATATTAGTTTCAGGTATACACCTCAGTAATTAGACATTATGTAACTGATCATGCCGATAAATCTCAGACCCATCTGATATACATAATTAATAGAATTTTATTTTTATTTTTTAAAAAATATATTTTATTGATTTTTTTACAGAGAGGAAGGGAGAAAGAGAGAGAGCTAGAAACATCGATGTGAGAGAAACATCAACCGGCTGCCTCCTGCACACCCCCCACTGGGGATGTGCCCACAACCAAGGTACATACCTCTGACCGGAATCGAACCTGGGACCCCTCAGTCCGCAGGCTGACACTCCATCCTCTGAGCCAAACAGGTTTCGGCATTATTTTTTATTTTTTAAATCCTCACCCGAGGACATTTTTCCACTGCTTTTTAGAGAGAGTGGGACAGAGGGAAGGAGGCGGGGGCAGGGTGTGTGTGTGGAGGGTGGAAAGAGATAGGTCTACATCGATCAGTTGCCTCAAGCCCACACAAGCCCCAACCAGGATAGAGATCAAACCTGCAACTCAGGAATGTGCCTTTGATCGGAATCAAACCTGTAATCCTTAGGTGTGCAGGCCGATGCTCTAACTACTGAGCAACACTGGCCAGGGCTAGAATATTATTGACTGTGTTCTCTATGTTGTATTTTACATCCCACGGCTGTTTTGTATCTGCTACCTTATGTGTCTTTTTTTTTTTTTTAATTTTTAAAATAATTTTTTACAGAGGAAGGGAAAGGGATAGAGAGTTAGAAACATCAATGAGAGAGAAACATCGATCAGCTGCCTCCTGAACATGCCCTACTGGGAATGTGCCGGCAACTAAAGTTTATGCCCTTGACTGGAATTGAACCCTAAACCCTTCAGTCCACAGCCAATGCTCTATCCACTGAGCCAAACCAGCCAGGGCCTATCTTGTACATCTTAATCCCCCTTCACCTTTTCAACCATCCTCCCAACCCTTTCTCCCTTCTGGCAACTATCAAAATCTTCTCTGTATCTATGAGTCTGTTTCTGTTCTGTTTGTTTGTTTATTTTGGGGATTTTTGTTTGTATAGATTTTCTTGTTTCATTACATCCTTTTCATGTCTCTTATTTTTTTCTTATTTTTATCTATTTTGGCTGAAATTGTCGTATGGCTTGTTAGTTGTGCAGTGAAAATGCTTATGGCAAAGATGCTTAGGCTGAAATACCAAAAACCTGCAACCGTCTGAGGTGGGCAGCTGAGGCACCTTTCACAGTGACAGCACTGAGTTACGGCCCCTCCGTGTGCCCAGAGGGCTGGGGCCACTGTGCCCATTGTATGGGTGGGATGGGCAGGCAGAGCCAGAGAAGACAAGTGACTCATCTGCTGGGCTGGGGCAGAGTTCAGACCAGGACCACGTGTTCCGATTGCTCCTTTAATCTCTTTACTGCTGCCTGTGCTGTCTCCTGCCAGGGCTGGTACATCGCACCATAGAACAGCGTAGGAGGAAGATGCCTTCTTGCCACGTGTCAGTGTCTTATCACTGGCTGTTAGGCTGTGCACCCTATGGGGGGGTTGGGCTGCATCTCTTTGCCTAGTCTAACTTCTTGCTAAGTCTGTGCCTGTGTGAGTGGGTGCGTGGGGGTATGAGTGTGTGTGTCTGGCCACCTCTTCCTCCAATGAACTCCTTCACGAAGGTCAGACTAGTCCTGTTTAGCACCCAGCCTGGTGTGGGGCTGTGTCTGGAACTCTCTCCTGGCCTTTCACAACACTTTTTGCTGTTTGGCCCATCCCCTGAATGCCTCTGCTCCCAGGACTTCTGCCTGCAGGATCCCGAGACCCCCTGTGCTCGTCCCTGGCAAGAGCTGTCATCCCTGCTCCTGACCCCAAGGGCACATCCAGATGACAATCATTCAGAAAGAGACACTAAACAATATGGTTTTATGTCCCAGGACCGGAGCCCCTGGTGCCCGCACAAGACTCGTCTCAGGTGAAGCGTGAGGAAGCCCTGTGCGCCCGGGGTCCACGGGGCCTGGAGGAGAGAGCTATCCCCACGGAGTCCATCACCGGTGAGTGAGCCCAGCGGCCGCCCACGCCAGGGCGGGAGAGGAAGGTTCGGCAGGGTCCGCAGGTCCCGGCCTTGTTGGCCACGTGTGCCAGATGTGGGGCCTGGGCTGGAAGTGGAAGAGCTGTGCATCCAGGATGGAGGGGGAGACAGGGTTTCCCCTTGGGGCACAGACGTGGCACACAGCATGATGATTTGCCAGCACATCTGGGCTTAGTTTGGTTTTCTCTGCTCTTTGTAATATGATCAGTTTTTAACTATTCCTTTTGACAAGCAAGGTTAGGCCAAGCAACAGAATGTGGTGTGAAAGGCCAGGAGACATAAAATCAGACATCAGGCGATACGTTAGCATACGGTAGCTCTCCTGACCCACAGGCTGGCGCTCACAAACCTCATCTCCTAAGTAAGTGATGGCAGAGGCTGAATGGAGGAAAGCCCTGTCATCCAGTCCCCAAAGAGATCTTTCTGAGATGAGAGGGCAGTAAGGGTTAATGAGGCGTGATGGCCTCGAAGAAGAAAGGAGATGTCGAATATATCTTACAAATACCCCACTGAGAAGAAAGGCTTCAGAGAAGGTACGATTTTCCGGGACAATCCCCACATGAGGACTGGCTGCTTCCAAGGTGGTGCTCAGTCCTCAGTACCCGAGCATAAATCTCCTCCAAGGAGTTAAGTTCCCAAGCAGAGAAGGACTTTCTCTCTCTTTTTTTTTTATATATGTTTTTTTTTTATTTTATTGATTCTTAATAGAGAGGGATAACGAGTTAGAAACATCGATGAGAGAGAATCATCGATCAGCCGCCTCCTGCACACCCCCTACTGGGGATGTGCCCGCAACCATGGTACATGCCCTTAACCGGAATCGAACCTGGGACCCTTCAGTCCGCAGGCCGACGCTCTATCCACTGAGCCAAACTAGTGTCGGCAGAAGGACTTTCTCTTGAAGTCACTGTTCTATCATTCCTCAATAGCATCCACTTATTTGCAGCAAAAGCTCCAGTGTTTGAGGCCAAGCTGACTGAAACCTCTAATTAATTAGCATAGGCTAGCTAATAGTTTCCCAATTTGTAGGGGAAAGACACAACTGCATGTAGTAAGAGATTTACTCAAAGCAAAGACTTGTGGGCATTTTTATGTCCCCTGACACCTTTGCTGGTCTGTTCCTACGTGCAGATTCGCCAGCCTCTGCCCAGGACCTCCTGTCCCGAATCAAGCAGGAGGAGAACCCGTGCGTGTGGGATCAGCAGGACTTGGCAGAGAGAGATATTCCAACGGACCCCAATTCAGGTGAGCACGGTGCCCTGGAATATTGGGAGGATAAGGCTGCTGGCTTTTTAATTATTATTATTGATTTGAGAGAGAGAGAAAGGGAGAGTGAGAGTGAGATTAAAACATCAATGATAAGACAGAATCATCATTCAGCTGCTTCCTCCATGCCCCCTAGTGGGGATCAAGCCACAACTCAGGCATGTGCCCGGACCCGGGGCTGTGATCTCCTGGTTCATAGGTCATTGCTCAACTGAGCCACTCCAGCTGGGCTGCAACTTTGTACGGATTTTAGAAAGTGGAAAGGGTTTTTCTAAAGGAGTCATTGACCATTTGCTGTGTCAGTGTAACTAATATTAAAATTACTTCTTCAGCACTGATTTTTAAACAATAAATATAACAAAAAAGGCTTTTTAAAGTTGTGTATATGTCTATAAATGTATATTTACACTTTCTGGAATTTTGCTTGAGTGAATACTAGTTAGATGTCTCCCAGGAAAACTTCTGGAGAGGGTCTAGGCATAAAGGAAAACATAAAATAATAATTGGGACACCCTACTGCCTTGGACCTCTGTGTGTGAGTGTGGGTGTATGTGTGTGTGTTGACATAAGCTTGCAGATCTGGAGAACTCCAGTGTCATCTCATTTGGTAAACATGACCCCGAAGTTTGATCCCACCCCCGCATTCCAGGAAGAGAAGGTGAACTCTACAACTTCACCCTGGGGAGGTGAGAGGCTCCGGGCAGAGGGAAAGCCAGGCCTTCCTGACAGAGCAGTTCTTACGACAGCCTTTGCTCACTGGTCCCGCCGTTGCTAATCTCTGAGCCCCGCCTCTCATTCCTCGGTCCTATGGGCCTTCAAGGACCAGGCTGCCCTCTGGCTTGTTCTGGACCTACAGGCCGTTCTGGGGCTCAGTGGCCATGATCAGGAGACCTGGGTTCTAATCCTGGCTGTGCCGCCACACAGGCTTGGGGACAAGCCTCCTCCGCCCTGACCCCGGGAAGTGTAGTGTGCACAGTGATGGCCCGTGTACGAAGGCCTGAGGCGGGAGGCCCCCCAGGAAAGGAAACTGATGCCAGAACCGCCACGTGCCCCGAGAGCTGAGCTGCAGCATTTGCACGTGATGGTTTTTTTTTGTTTTATTTTTTTAATGTATTTTATTGATTTTTTTACAGAGAGAAAGGGAGAGGGATAGAGAGCCAGAAACATCAATAAGAGAGAATCATCGACCAGCTGCCTCCTGCACACTCCCCACCGGAGATGTGCCCACAACCAATGTACATGCCTTTGACCGGAATCAAACCTGGGACCCTTCAGTCCGCAGGCTGACGCTCTATCCACTGAGCCAAACCAGTTTCGGCTGCACGTGATGGTTTTTGAACTTTTGATGGGACGTTCAGCAGAAATGAACGGATGCTAAGACTGCCTTCTTTCCACAAACAGAGTCTCTGATCTCAGCACATGACATTTTGTCATGGATCAAGCAGGAGGAGCAGCCGTACCCGTGGGGCCCTCGAGACTCGATGGAAGGAGAGCTGGGATTGGACTCTGGCCCCAGTAAGTGCTGTGTGCGGCGCCCCGGGGCCCCCGGGTGCTTGTCCAGAGGGATGGCTGCTCCCTCAGCTTACCCCCCGATAGGTGATGCTCTGTTGGGGCGGACGGCCTTCCGTCGGTCAGTACCAGAGGCATGCCCCTTTCCTTTTGCAGGCTGGGAGGCTTGTTCGTGTCCTAGGGCTGTCTTAAAGCCCCGCACCCTGGGTGGTTTTGAAAAACAGAACTGTGTTGTCTCACAGCTCAGGAGGCCAGGAATCTGAGATCAGGGGGTGGGCAGGGCCGCCCCGTCTCTGAAAGCTCTAGGCAATTCTCCCTTGCCTTTCCCGGCTTCTTGGCAACCTTTGGTGATGCTGGGCTTGTAAGCGTGTCGCCCCAGTCCTCTGTCTTCACGTGTCTGTGTGTTCACCAGGCTGTCTTCTCATGAGGACACGGTCCTATTGGACCAGGGCACCCTGCTCCAGTGGGACCGCATCTTAACGAATTCCACTTGCAAGGACCCTGTGTCCAAATCAGGTTGCATCCTGAGGACCTGGGTGTTCAGGTCTTTATAGTTTTGGTGTGGGAGATGGGAGGGAGGTGTCATTTAGCCCATAACATTGGGAAAGGGGGTGGGCTGGGACAGAGCTGACAGGAGTTGATGGCGCCCATCAAGACGGCACTGGCCGGGGCCAGCCCCGAGCTAGCCCCCCAGTGTCACAGGTGAAGATCCTGAAGCTCGAGCAGAGAGAGGGGATTTCCCCTCCAACAGGTTTCTGACCAAATGTCTCCTCAGTTTGGGTCTCCTGAGCATTTTTGAAGCTCCACTTATTACCTAGTGACCTTAGGCATATGTCCTTGGGGATTTAACACTCTTAGCATCAGGGTAGCGTTCCTTGCCAGACCCAGTGCCGTCACCCTCTTCTGGTTGATCGGAGTGTTAATTCATATTCCTGACACCCTCTAAGAGCTGAGGACACAAGTCATTCCTGACCTGAAAGGCCATTTCAAACCCAGGTCAGCCCATCCCACTCTCTGTGACAAACGTAATTCCGTGTGGAGGCCCTTCTGACACATGAGTGCCCTTCTCCAGCCCTCTTCAGCTGCCTGAGGCCGGACGCAGCAGTGGGGTTCCGATCACAGGCAGGACAGAGGAGAGAGGGTGAGGGGGTCTCACCGTGAGTGTCCGCAGCGCTGACCACAGAGCTAAGCGGGGCCAGGAAGAGAGAACAAAGGAGACAAAAGCAGCCGGGTGCTCACACCGCGTTTGCGAATCATCAGAGCAGCACTGGGGCTGTTTGGGGCTGGGTTTCTAGGGAAACGGTCCCTGAGATGGCGGTTTGAGTGTGGTGGTTTCCTCGGGGTCCTCTGGAAAACTCCCGGGAAAGAATGAGGGGAGGGGGCTGGGGTAGAAGGAGCAGCGAGGCCACAGTCAGGATCGCAGGCATTGTCCTGGACGGTCCGACTGGGGCCTGAGCATTGCCTCTGCCCTGGCCGCTGTCCTGTGGAGAGGGCTCTTTGTTCTCTGCTGGTCAGTCGCGATTGGCTTAGAGGGGGCAGGCTGGGCCCAGTCTGTTTAGGGATGACAGAAGGAGAACAGGCTTCAGTCAGATACTGATGAGCATGGGGTGGGAGTGTGGCAGATGCGGCCTGGAAAGTCACCTCTGGGGAGCAGATGGGTCCTGGGCAAAGGAGAGAAAGGGATGCCCACGAGAGGTGGGGGACAGAGGGCAGGCTTCCCCTCCTTTATTATTCTTCCACGGACCGCCCCTAAGTGTGGGAGGGGTGCTTCCAGGGGAAAGGACTGCCCACTGGGGGTTGGGGAGGTGATGGAAGGTAGTTTGCAGAGGGAGTAGTTCCTATGGCGGAATCCTGGCGCTCAGCCTGGACTTTGGCCTCACTGACACCCTCTAACTGGGAAACTGGGAGCTTGTCCTTGAGGCATGGGGGTGCAACCAAAGGGCATCACGGCAGGAGCAGGAACAGCTTCCTGGGGAGGCGGCTGGGCATCCGCTTCCACACTGGGGCACGGGGCCCCGGTCACACATGGCCAAGCCTCAGGATGGAACTCACCCCAGCCCAGCTGAGCAGCCGCTGTACAAGGCAGAAGGCGGCTTGTCTAGCAGAAAGATGACTCACCTGGGAGGGTGGGTATGGCCCCAGCTCCCCACAGCCCATTCCTGTTGGCCTCTAGACACGCTTTTCAACGTGAATAAGTTTTGGCAAATTCCCTCCAGTTGAGAGGTTTTCAGATAAATTAGCCTTGAACATCAGAACACAATTTCCCGTCCTCCCTGCAAGCTGCCTCCTCTCCAGCAGGTAGGTGGCTTGGGGCAGGTCAGAGGGGCAGGGAGCCCAAGAGACATATGGAAAGTGGCCATTTGCCTTGTTCAGGCCCCTCATTTTCCTAGGGAAGCCCGGGCCCAGATTGCCTGTGCCTCCCATGAAGCCGCGGGCAGATGAGCTGAGCACCTGGGCCCCTTGCAGGGACAGTGTAGGGTCCTGGTCGGAGCGCTGTCAGGGCGTCATTTCTCTGTGTCTCTTCCTCCCCAGGTGACAACCTGCTGCTGGTGAAGAACCCGGCCCCAGCCCAGCCGCCCCAGCCCGCTCCGCCGAGCCTGCCCCCGCCTCCGGTGGCCGAGAACGCGGGCGGCGCCCTGGGCCGCAGCGCCGCGGGGCTGCTGGACGACGGCTTCCCCGCGCTGGCCGGGGAGCGGGGCGCGGCGGGCGGGGCGCAGGCGGGCGGCGGCGGGGGCGCGGGCGGGGGGCCCGGGGGCGGCGGGGGCTGTGGCAGCTGCTGCCCGGGTGGCGGGCTCCGGCGGGGGCTCCTGCAGGGCGCGCGCAACAAGCCCTACTCGTGCCCCGAGTGCGGCAAGAGCTTCGGGGTGCGCAAGAGCCTCATCATCCACCACCGCAGCCACACCAAGGAGCGGCCCTACGGGTGCGCCGAGTGCGAGAAGAGCTTCAACTGCCACTCGGGCCTCATCCGCCACCAGATGACGCACCGCGGCGAGCGGCCCTACAAGTGCTCCGAGTGCGACAAGACCTACAGCCGCAAGGAGCACCTGCAGAACCACCAGCGGCTGCACACGGGCGAGCGGCCCTTCCAGTGCGCGCTGTGCGGCAAGAGCTTCATCCGCAAGCAGAACCTGCTCAAGCACCAGCGCATCCACACGGGCGAGCGGCCCTACACGTGCGGCGAGTGCGGCAAGAGCTTCCGCTACAAGGAGTCGCTCAAGGACCACCTGCGGGTGCACAGCGGTGGCCCCGGCCTGGGCGCCCCGCGGCCCCTGCAGGCGCCGCCCGACCGGGACTAGGGCTGGGCCGGGGGAGGGAAGGCCGGCGGCTGCGGCGGCGGGCGCGGGGGTGCAGAGGGCCTGGGGGCGGCCTGACCACCCTCCATCCTGCCGATCCTGCCGCGGCTCCCGTGCGCCTTCCCTCCCTCCGCCTGCCGCTCGCTGGGAAACGGGAACAGGAATTGCACTCTAAACAGGGTCCCCCAGCGTTGGACAGGGGTCCCCCTAGACCTGTCCGGCCTGAATGAACGGCCCAGCTCATCTCAAGGTGGCTCAAGGGGCCGGCTGCGCGGCTTCCCCGCAGGGAAGGTGCGGGAGGGGTAGCCAGGAGGCCGGAGGCTGCCTGCCCGCCCCTCAGACACCCGGAGTGCCCACTTGGCCACTGGGGTCTCAGATTGTGATCATGGGAAGCAGCCAGGGGGTCTCGGAAGCCCGAGACCGGGAGATCGGGTCCCAAGGCTGAGATGCTGCAAGAGGAAGCCAAGGAGTGGCCGAGCCGAGGGATGTGCTAAGGGATACCACCACCTCCACGACGACAACACTGCCTCGCGTTTGAATAGCGCTTTCTACTTTTTTAAACGTGTTTTCTATCCGTTACCTATTCTCGCCCTTAGCCTATCCCTCTGTGGCAGGCGGGGGTAGGGTTTGCCTGACTCGGTAACCAAGGAGAGGCGCAGGCCAGGTGGTTTAGCCCAGATGACAGGAGAAGGGCGGCAGAACTGGGACCAGGCTCCTGACCCAGCGCAGTGTCCTCACCGCGCACACTGCCTACCTCCCACGTCTGAGACAGACCCCGCTGGCTCTGCCTCTCCCGGTCTCTCCCTGGCCCCCGACCCACCAAACATAATCAGAAGCCACTGGGGACACAGTTCGTGGGGTTACGGGGAGTGGGGTACAGATCGCCTCAGGTTAGGCTTCTGAAAGGCGCTTCCTCTGTGGGCACTTTTGGGGCCCAGGACCCGTCCCCTGGCCCATCCCTCCCACCTCTAGTCCCTCAACCTGGTGCAACCCATCTTGTTACTACACCGTAGTGACCCGGCCCTCCGGAGGCAGCTGGTGCCCTGGGTCCGAGCTCACCCTGACGATCTATTCCAGTTTCCCCAGAGCCACAGGGTGAGAGCAAGGCTCATGCTGCAGGGGCCGCCATCGAGGAAGCGCATCTCTTCCCAGGAGGGCCGGGCAGCGGGTGCTAGAGGCTGAGAGCCTCCGTCTCTCTCCTGCCCTGAGCCTCCCAACCGGTGCTATCCGTTACTGACCATGCTCACGGACATGGACGTGGACACAGACCTCCTCTGCTCCAGACCCCCCTGCAGGCGCCTCAGGAGGCGCCCAAAGGACTCCCTTGTGTTGGTGCAATGCTCCGTGGTCCCGCGGGGCCACCGTCTCCATTTCTGCGTCTTGCATGGCCAGGCACTGGGGTGGGGTGGCACGCCCCAGTTACCCTCATTTGTGTTGAGAATGACTTTTCCTGCTCCGCCCGTCCACCCCACTTCTCTCCCGGCCGGGAGCACGGTGGGCAGCCTGCGCCTGACACCACGTTTGTGAGCGCTCTGCTTCCTCCCTCACCTGCACCGCTTGGCTTTCCTCAGACCCCTGTTTGCCATGCAAAGGGAATTCCCGAAATTAAATAAAAGGTGTCCAGATCGCAGCCTGCATGTTCACAAGGCCGAGTGAGGGTTCTGCATTGTGGCTTCAGACAGGAAAGCCTCCATACGACTGGAGCCCAACTACCTGGGGTTTTTCTCCTCTCTTCATTTTGAAGGAGGCAACTCTTAAAACTAGCTGAGAAATTAGGCAGACAAGTCCAGTGGAGTTTTGTTAGTGCAGAAGGGACCCTTTAAAACATTGTTTTTGTGGGGAGGGAGCAGTCTCTGCTTTTTAAAGGCATTTGCAGGAAAGCAAGCTTTTCATCATCTAAATAATTGGAAATAAGACTTTTTTTTTGTTAAGAGTATAAAGATAGGGAGAGATCACTATTGAGACATGGATTTGAAGTATTTGAGCACATAGTTCAAGTGTATATTTTGCCCTCAATGAGCTGATTCCCAAAAAGGTTTAGAGACTAAATTAGAGGGCAGAAAGTTAGCACCTGGTTCCTTCACCGTAGCCTGGTAGATCCCAGGGCACCGAGAGCCCTCAGCTAGGAGACACCCCAGCCTCCAACCCTGGCCCCGGGGAGTCCAATAGTGAGCCCTGCCCCCGAGCTGATCCAAGGTGATGACACTCAAGATGGACTTCTCCCAGGCAGCAAGGATCCCAAGAGAGGACCCTGCAATCCACTTTCTGAAGCGTCTGTTTTGGGTGGATTTTTATTTCCCATCTGATAGTGTGTTAATTAAAATTAACTTTTAATTTTAAAAATGTGCACAGTAAAGTTTCAAATGGTTAAAAAAGACAATCCTCACTCGAGCATATATTTTTATTGCTTTTTAGAGAGTGGAAGGGAGAGAGAAACATCCATCTTTTTCCTGCCTGATCCCCTGTTGAAAAGCATCCACTGCTAAGAGCTTTTTTTTTTTTTTTTTTTTTTTTTTAATATATTTTTATTGATTTCAGAGAAGGGAGAGAGATAGAAACATGAAAGATGAGAGAATCATTGATCGGCTGCCTCCTGCATGCCCCACGGCTAGAATGACAACCTGGTCATGAGCCCTGGCCAGGAATGGAACTGTGACCTCCTGGTTTATAGGTAAATGCTCAACCACACCAGCTGGGCAAGAGCTTTTAAAAAAATCCTCACTCAAGGATGTTTTCACTTATTATTTTAGGGAGAGAGAGGATGAGAAACATCAATTAGTTGCCTCCTGTACCCATGCTGACCAGGGATCGAACCCACAACCCTCAGATGTATGGGTTGACGCTCCAAACAACTGAGCCACTTGGCCAGGTACTAAGAGCTTATATGTCCTTCCAGAACTGGAGAAGTCCTCACAGGGAATGAGGTGACAGGCCCAGAGGAACGGAGAAGTGCTAAGCTGACAGAATTATCAGATGTCTGCTGCACATGCACACTGCAGGGGGGTGCAGCCTGAGCCACGCGTGTTCTGCCAGGATTCTCACTGACCTCAGGCCCAGTGCGGCATGCTCCCCAGCATTGTTTTTGTTTTTGAGAAAAGGTACACAAAGGAAATGGTCCCTGCTACCTGGAGTCTAGGATAGTAAGGGAACAGAATAGAAAGGGTCTCTACTAAATGGAATAAAGCTATGGCCTGTAAACTTTCTTGAATAAAAAAATGTTTGGGCATATATATGCTAATACATATACTATAAATCACACTTGCAATAGAAAAGAAGTCAAGGTAAATACTTTAAAGCATTTTAAACTATTATTTGTGATTCAAAGACTACTGTCACTAAAAATGGGGGTGTGAGTGAGATATCTAAGGTCACAGCTCTGGGTGTGTGGTGTTTTTTTTTTTTATTACTATTGATTGATTTCTAGAGAGAGAGATCAATTTGTTGTTCCACTTATTTATGCATTCATTGTATGTACCCTCATCGGGGATCAAACCCACAACATTGGGATAGCAGGAGAACATTCTAACCACTGAGCTACTCAGCCAGGGCCTCTGGATGTTCAATCATTCATTCTACAGATGACAGGATATGAGTATATTGATTTATCTTATAACATTACCATCAATGGGAATAATTATGAACCTAACTTTAAAGTTCATTTGGCAGTTACTCTTTGAGCCTGCCCGCACTCTCTCTCCTGAGAGTGTGCTTTCACTTTAATAAATCTTGCTGCTGCCTCTTGAATTTCTTAAAAAAAAAAAAAAAAAAAGTTTATTCAAAGGCATGTGTCAAGATCTGGGTGTCATTGGGAGAGGACAAATGGGTGGCTTCTCAGACAAGGAGAATTTATCTTGGTGTATTCTAGCACCTTGCCAAAACAAAGACAAACCAAAATGAGAAGTTGCCTGTTATTGAGAGCTTGCTCTATAGCAGGCCTCCAGCTACATAAGCATTTTACTTATACATTGTCGTTTACTTTAACCCCATTAACAACCCTTGGATGCGGTTTTCATAACCTCAGGGAGAAGACACTGAGGCAGAGTGAGCATGAGCCACACCCCTTGGTGAGTGAAGGAGCCAGGACACAAATAATAGCAATCATAAGTGCATCTTGAACTCTTATTATGACGGGTTGCACTGTAAGCATTTGACTTGAACTAACTCATTTAGTCTGCACAACAACTCATAAGATGCGTGCTATTATTTCCCACTAATGAGGAATTGGAGGTGTCAAGAAATTAACGACTTGCTCAAAGTCCACATGTACTAAGTGGGGGTGCTGGTCTCACTCCTTGGCCCCACTTTCTAACTCCCTGTGCTGCCATCTTCCAAAAGCCCATGACTCTGCAAAATAGTGCCTGGTGCTTCCTCCCTTGCACACTGGAAATCTGATCTAAATATTCTTCCAGAGTTCCAGGCTCAGAGTCAGGGATGCTGAATCATGCTGACTCTCAGGAGACTGACTGATGGATAAGCCAGAGTATCAGTTTAATAACTTCCAAGGGTGGGCTGGATAGTTGCATCAGCCTGACCTGCCTGTTGTCTCCCAATAGCTATCAACACAGGGACCTGCATCAGCATAAGGTTGCCTGCTGGACACAAAAATGGAATGGAGTGTGAGTTCTATACCTGGATCGCTTAGTGACCTCAGTATTCTATGTCCTGATATGACTATCTCCACAATCCCCATACATTATTTTCTGTATCTGCAGTAAGTTTTTGTTGGCCAGAGAGAGTAGCTCAAACCCTGGATATATCTCAAAGGCTGACTAGTTTCCTCCACATGGCCCTTTAAATAGATCAATAATTCAATCAATCTCCTGACAAAGTGGTTGCCCTGGACATCATACCTTTTCTATATATATATAAATAATTGATTCTTTACAGAGGAAGGGAGAGGGATAGAGAGCCAGAAACATCGATCAGCCGCCTCAGGCACCCCCCCCCCCCCATAGGGCATGGGTCGGCAACCAAGGCACATGCCCCTGACCGGAATCAAACCCGGGACCCCTGAGTCCACAGGCTGACGCTCTATCCACTGAGCCAAACCGGTTAGGACACATCATGCTTTTTCTTAGAGGTGACTTTTCCTAGCCTTGCTCTGTGATTTGCTATTCAATCACCCAAAAATATTTACGAGCACTTCTCTGAGCAAATAGAAGTACGGAGGAGGGAGAGACATTTTCATGAATTACCATATAAACAAATGAAAAAATGAGGTGATTTTGGATTGTGATAAATGGTATGAACAGTTTTTGGAGGAGTATAACTAGACTGGGAATTGGGATGGAGGAAGATATAGGGAATGTCTCTCTGAAGAGGTGAAGTCTGACCTGAGCCCTGCAAACTAAGAAGGACTCAGTCATGTGAACACAGAGTTTAGTTCTCAGGGGAGGCATTTCATGTCTGTCATTGGAAGTGGAAGTTCATTGCAAGTCTCTGCAGAGACAATGTGGCACAAATTAGGCACGTATGGTTGCCAAACTCCACATGCATCATTTCACATGTAGCATGTGCACTGGATTACATATTTGACATCAGGGCTATCTTGGGGTTTCCAAGGCATGTGATTACTGTCATGAATAGGCTACGGTGGGTTGGCCTTGGCATCTGACCCCACATTGTTGAGATGGGAAGTCTGCTTCTAGCTGCTAAAAAGCAAAATTTTGGAATACAACCGCTTGCCATTTGGGACCATAGCTCTTTCCCCCAACTAGGTGACATGTTCTTCTCTCAGAAAAAAAAAGTATGAGTTTTATACATTTTGGAATATCGCAAAGCACCTAGCAGAGTTCTGGGCACGTCAAATAAACAAAAACAAAAACACTAAGTCCTTTGGGTTTGCCTTCAATTTGGAACCTGCCCTTGACGCGGAGGCGGCGCTGCTCTTCGCCCTCCGGCCGCACGGGGGCGCCATGGGAATCCCGCGCGCCGAGGACGGGTGGCTGGAGCCGGTCTTGGCCTTGTGTCAACACGGCGCCGGCGGCGGCTGCGAGGAGGGGCCGGGGCGCCCCGCAGACCCGCGCGCAGTCCGAGGGAGAGCAGGCGCGGCCCCGCCGCGGACGGGCGCCCGGCAGCCATGGCGGAGTCGGCGTCGGCTCGGGTAAGAGTCCCCTTGGCCGGGGGCGCGTTCGGGGACACGGAGCTGCGGGGCGGGCGGGGTGAGGGGGGGGTCCCCGGGCTGCCGCCGCGCCGTGAGCGCCCACCTGCCCCCGCGCCCCGGCCGGGCGCTGCCCCCTGCCCGGTCCCCTCCGCGGCGGCCGGAGCCGGAGCCGCGCGTCCGCGGGGAAACTTCTCCGCGGCCAGTCCCGCGTCCTCGGGTGTGGACCGGCCCCGCAGCGCTCCCGGCGCCGGAGAGCCCGCGCCCGGAGAGGGGTCGCGGCGGAAACTCCGGGTCCGCTCGGCCGCCTCGGAGCCCGCCGGCCGCTCCGGGACCCGGCGCTCCCCGCTCCCCGCTCCCCGCTCCTCGGCGGCCGGCGGGCTCGCTCCCGGCCATTGTGCTGCGCGGCCCCTCCGGCCGCCTTGTCCCGCCTCGGACTTCTGTCCGCGGCTGCGGCCGCAGGTGGGAGTCGGGCTGGGCTTCCTCTCCCCCGGGACAGGTGTCAGCTCGCCGCGGAGCTGCCGGGGTTTGTCTGGGAAGCTGCGGGGTCCCCCCACCCCCGGACCCCCAGGCTTCCGCAGGACCCCCCCCCCCCCCCCGGCTGGGGGAGAGGGAAACCCTGGGCTCGGAGGCAAGAACCTGGTTCCCAGCCGTCACTCGCTCGCACCCTGGGCCTCCGCTTTCTGGGTGAATCGTGTCGGACTAGTTGCTGGATAGTCTAGTCTCTCAGGCTCCGGGCAGCTCTGACATTCGCGTGGTATTCGAAAGTAGTGGTTCCTTTGATAATGCAAGAGGATGATGTGCTGTGGAAAGGGCAGACGGAATGTAATAGTTTATTTTATTTTATTTTATTTTATTCTATTTTTGATGTAGAGAGAAAGAGCAAGAGGAACATCGATTTGTTGTTCCACTTATTTATGCATTCATTGGCTGCTGCTGGTGTGCGCCCTGATGGGCGATCGAACCGGCAACCTTGGCATATCCGGACGACACCCGGCCAGGGCTGGAATTTAATTTTTTTTTAATTATTGATTTTTAGATAGAGAGAGGAGGGGGGCGGAGAGAGGAGGAAAGAGAGAAACATCGATTTGTTGTTCCACTTATTTAAGCGTTCATTGGTTGGTTCTTTTTTTTTTTTATAACCCATTGATTTTTTTTTTTTACCTCATTGATTTTTTTTTTTTAATCCTCACCCGAGGATATGTTTTTATTGATTTTAGAGAGGAAGGGAGAGAGGGGGCGGGAGAAAGAGAAACATCGATCGCTGCCTCCCATCTGCGCCCCAAGCATTTCGTGGTCTAGAAACACTTTCAGAATCATATGAGATCTCGTGAGAATTGAGGGCTAGCAAGATGCACTGTATTTGATTCTTTTTATTTTTTTATTTTTTCAATCCTCACCCGAGGATATGTTTTTATTAATTTTTCAGAGAGAGGGGCAGGGGGAGAGAGGAGCAGCGGTGGTCAGGGCCGTTTGATTCTTGCAGGAAGGGGGTGAGGACGAAGAGGGGAGGGACTGGCAGGCTCGGAGAACACTGTTTGCTCTCAGGGAAGCTAAAGTTGAACTGTGAAGACAAGACAATGTTTACAGCATTTGCCTCATCTGACTCCTTTAACGGGCTTTCCTGCAGACCAGATGAGCGGTAAAGCAGGGCAGGAGCACAAGTGCACTGACTTGTCAGCGCACAACGACTTGCATGTCATTAGCAGGGCTTGTTAAGAGGAAGCCTTCAAGATCCTCCAAAATTCAAAACTGCGCTCTAAGTGACTTACGGCTCTGAAATACAGTAGAATGTATTTAAATTGTCCTTCAGCATTATTCCTGTCTCTGGCATTTTCTTTTCAGAGGAGGATTCTGTGTACCTCTCATTTTGATAGTATGGCCAAGTAGACACCATGATGAGAACAACTAAAAATGCTGGGGTGGGGGGTGGGGACGACACATATATTTGAAATGTATGTTAGTAAAAAATACTTGGGGCCCAAAACCCAGGTGAAAGAGGGAGCTCTTAAGAGGTAAGGAGAGCCGAAACCGGTTTGTCTCAGTGGATAGAGCATCAGCCTGCGGACTGAAAGGTCCCGGGTTCTATTCCGGTCAAGGGCATGTACCTTGGTTGCGGGCACATCCTCAGTAGGGGGTGTGCAAGAGGCAGCTGATGGATGTTTCTAACTCTCTATCTCCCTTCATCTCTGTATAAAATCAACAAAATATATTAAAAAAAAAAAAAAAAAAAAAAAAGGTAAGGAGAGTTCTGAAACCAACTTGGAGGGCTTGCTGAACATTCATCTGTGGTGTTTATGACCTCAAGGGGCCTGGAAAATAAAAGATGAAACTCAATGCCTAAGAGTCCCTGGGACGCCTCCTACCAGAATCCCATAAAGCAGAGACTCCAAAGGGCAATGTTCAGGGTGAACTAAAAGCTCTTACCCCCAGGTGATGGCAGAGAAAGTTACGTATGTCAAACCTTGGTGCCGAGAGATGAGTGCAAGATGTCTCTTGAAAATTGATGACTCTCAAATGGTTTTTAAAAATATATATTTTATTGATTTTTTACAGAGAAGAAGGGAGAGAGATAGAGAGCCAGAAACATCAATGAGAGAGAAACATCGACCACCCGCCTCCTACACACCCCCTACGGGGGACGTGCCCGCAATCAACATACATGCTCCTGACTGGAATCAAACCTGGGACCCCTCAGTCCGCAGACCAATGCTCTACCACTGAGCCAAACCGGCTTCGGCTGAAATGGTTTTATTGCCTGAATTTATATGACCTGGATGGTCCTAGAAACTGCAAGCAGAGAATTTAATTTAAAGTAGAACCTCGAGCTGTCTTGACAAAAACATGCATCATCCTAGCTGGTTTTGCTCAGTGGATAGAGCATTGATCTCCATACTGAAGGATCCCAAATTCAATTCTGCTCAAGGGCACATGCCCAGGTTGTGGGCTCGATCCCCTGTAGGGGATGTACAGGAGGCAGCCCATCAACGATTCTCTCTCATCATGTTTTTATCTCTCCTCCCTTCCTCTCTAAAATCAATAAAAATATATTTAAAAAGAAAAAGAGGAGGGGGAATAACAGAATAAGGAAAAATTCATCTAAAAGAAGGCAAGAATGAAGATGAAAGATGGGATAAATCACACAGAAAAGGTACAAAGTAAATATATATCAATAATTAGAATAAATGTAAATGGACTAAATGATCTAGTTAAAAGAAAAAGTTGGTCAGGAGGAGGGAAATTCAGCTATATGGTTTATATAATAAAATATAAGATAAAGCCGATACCGGTTTGGCTCAGTGGATAGAACGTCGGCTTGTGGACTGAAAGGTCCCAGGTTCAATTCCGGTCAAGGGCATGTACCTTGGTTGCAGGCACATCCCCAGTGGGGGGTGTGCAAGAGGCAGCAGATCGATGTTTCTCTCTCATCCATGTTTCTAACTCTCTATCCCTCTCTCTTCCTCTCTGTAAAAAATCAATAAAATATATTTAAAAATATATAGGATAAAGCTGTGGAAATGACTGGATATGAAAGGATAGGAAATCATATACCAGAATAATAGCAATCAAAAGAAAATTGGCCCTTGTTGGTGTGGATCAGTGGTCAGAGCATTGATCCTCATTCCTAAGAGTTGCAGGCTTGATTCTGGTCAAGGGCAGGTACTGGGTAGCAGGTTCCCCTCCCCAATTGGAACGAGTGCAGGAGGCAACCAATTGCCGTGGCTTTCTCACACTGATGTTTCTCTCCTCTCTTCCCCTTCCTCCTCCCTTTCAGTTTCTAAAATCAAATGGAAAGAATATCCTCCTGTGAGAATTAACAAAACAAAAAAAGAGAGAGAGAGAGAGAGAGAGAGAGAGAGAGAGAGAGGGAGAGGGAGGGAGGAAATGGGCTTATCTATATTAATATTGCTGGAGATGGAGGACTAATACTGTTTTTATAATGGTAAAAGACTTAATTTACTAGCTTGATATGACACTTCTAGTGTTATATGCAGCTAATTATGTAGCCTCAAGTATATATAAAACAAAAGTTGATAGAACAAGGGAAAATTCAGTACCATAGTAGAAGATTTTGATATTGCCTTAGTATTTTATCAAGCAGGAAACAATTAGTGAGGGTGTGGTATCTCCCAAGAACACTCTGAGATGATGGGAATATTCTGTCTGCACTGCTCAGTGCAGTAGCTGCAAGGTGCATGTGACTGTTACTCACTTGTAGCTCATATGACTGAGGAACGTGCATTTTTAATTTAATTTCAATTCATTTAACTTTCAACAGCCACATGTTTCTAGTGTCTATTATAACAGACAGGACATATAGAAAGGATATGATTAATTTTTCCCATCTATCTACCCCATATACATAATTTTGATGTATAGAGAGATTGGTGAAGAAAAAAAGAGAAAACGGATAAAACCTTGTTAGTGCCCTGGCCGGTGTGGCTCAGTTGGTTGAGCGGCGTCCCACGCACCAGGAAGATACAGGCTCGATTGCCAGTCAAGGGCACATGCTTGGGTTGCGGGCTAGATCCCCAGTGGAGGCTGTGCAGGAGGCAGCCGATTGATGTTGCACTCTCACATTGATTTTCTCTCTCCCTCTCCCTTCCTCTCTTGCTAAAAATCAATACAGTATTTTTTTTAAAAAGGAGTGGTGGTGGAGGGATTGAACAAAAAGAAAAAAAGAGCTTATGGACACAGACAACGAAGTGGTGATTGCAGGGCGGCAGGGTGGAGGTGGAAGAGGGCAGAGAGGAATAAATGGTGAAGGAAAAGATAATAAAAGAAAAACAAAGCCCCGTTAGTAATGGAAGCGTGTTCTGCGCTGGCCGCGGATCGGGCTGTGGAGCAGTCACCACGCGCCTCTCCCTGTCCGGCTTCCTCAGATGGCCGCAGTGCCTGCTCGCCTGCTATTTGCTCCAGGTGACAGGAGCTCCCTGCCAAACCCTCATTTCACTGCAGATTCACGAGCAAGATAGATGTGGTTGTCTTACGCCTCTACATTTTGGGATTTGAGGATTGGAACAGGTTCTTTGGCAAATATGCTCAAATATTTTTTATTTTTAAAAATATATTTTATTGATTTTTTTTACAGAGAGGAAAGGAGAGGAATAGAGAGTTAGAAACATCGATGAGAAAGATCAATCAGCTGCCTCCTGTACCTCCCGCTCCCCGACTGGAGATGTGCCCGCAACCAAGATACATGCCCTTGACCGGAATCAAACCTGGGGCCCTTGACGCTCTGTCCACTGAGCCAAACCAGATAGGGCTATGCTCAAATATTGAAAGACATAAAAAAAATACCTTTAAAAAGGGGTGTATAGCCCTAATCGGTTTGGCTCAGTGGATAGAACATTGGCCTGTGGACTGAAGGGTCCCGGGTTCGATTCCTGTCAAGGGCATGTACCTTGGTTGTGAGCATATCCCCAGTGAGGGGTGTGCAGGAGACAGCTGATGTTTTTCTCTCGTCGATATTTCTAACTCTCTATCCCTCTCTCTTCCTCTCTGAAAAAAATAAATAAAATAGCCGAAACTGGTTTGGCTCAGTGGATGGAGCGTTGGCCTGCAGACTGAAGGGTCCCAGGTTCGATTCTGGTCGGGGGCATGTACCTTGGTTGTGGGCACATCCCCGGGGGGGCAGGGGGCGGCGCAGGAGGCAGCTGGTCGATGTTTCTCTCTCTCTCATCAATGTTTCTAGCTCTCTATCCCTCTCCCTTCCTCTCAATATATATATATTTTAAAATAAAATATATTTTTTAAAAAGGAGTGTATAATATGTGCATGGATTAAACATTTCATTTTAAAGATGCTACTTTTCAAATTTACCTATGGATTTGATACAGCTCCAAACAAAACCTCTAAATATATTTTTTGTGAAATTTTTCAAATTTGTAGAATATCAACAGGCCTAAAATAGTCAATATACTCCTGTAAGACAAGGAAGTAGGACTTTCCTTACCAGATATCAATAATTACCAAAAAAAGCTATGGCCATTAAGATGGCAATATTGATAAAGCGATAGAAAAATTGACCCCTAGATCAGAATAAAGAAGCCAGAAACAAACTGATATGTAAGAAAACTTGACTTATGACAGAGATAGCATTTCAGATCAGTGGGTAAATGATGGATTTTTCATTATGTAGTGTTAGGTCTGTTGATTTCCCATATGAAAATTGAGTCTTGCACCGTACACAAATATCAGAACTAGTTGAGGTATCGATAAATACTTAAATGGGAAAATCAAAACTATAAAGTAGTCAAAACCTGTTTGGCTCAGTGGTAGAGCGTCGGTCTGAGGACTGAAAGGTCCCAGGTTTGATTCCGGTCAGTGGCATGTACATTGGTTGTGGGCACATCCCCGGTAGAGGGTGTGCAAGAGGCAGCTGGTCGATGTTTCTCTCTCATCGATGTTTCTAGCTCTCTATCTCTCTCCCTTCCTCTCTGTAAAAAATCAATAAAAATATATTTAAAAATAAATAAATAAAATTTAAAAAAAGATAGCAGCAGTAAGGTGACAAAATCTATATAATCAAAAAACAAAAATCTATAAAGTATTTAGAAGACTGTATTGTGGGTTCTAGATTTCTTTTTTTTACAACTGGCACAAAAAAGTTCAAACCATAAAAGCATTAATATTGATAACATTAAGCTCCATTAAAGTTAAGGATTTTTGATCAAATAATACTGAAGAGAGTAAAAAAAAAAAAAGTACAAATAAATACAAGATATTTGCAACAGATATAACTGATAAAGATTAGTGTCCAAAATTTATAGCGAAATCCTAGGGGACGGGAAGAAAAAGCCAGAGGACCCAGAATTAAGTGGGTAAGACTTCAGCAGGTTGCTCACTAACGGGGCCATTGAATGGCCTGTGAACATATTTCTCCTCCTGGTCTTGGTCTCCGTGTCTTCACTGTGGTCAGAGAAGCAGCCTCGGACAGAGTGTGCCACGTGAGAGGAGATGAGCCTCGCGGGCTTAGGACTGAAATGTGAACCTGCCGTAGGACAGGGGGGCTGAGAGGACCCCCCACGTACTGGTCTTAGGCATGTTGGGCCTCAGCCGCAGGGACTTTCCTCTGGCCAAGGACAGACCGTGAAGGCGAGAAGTAAAGGAAGAAGGTCGTTTCACTGGCTGGTTATGAAGAGTTTATTCACTTTACTCGCTGCTAGGGCACACAGATGAATGAGTTAAGTCCTGTAAGCGCCTCTCAGGAACCTTTAGGAGTTGCTGAAAGGTTTCAGCAAAGGGAGCGTGATGAATTACGAAGTCTGGCAGGATTGTGGAGTCAGGAGTAGATGTAAATAATATCATCACAGCAAAACATCACCAATAGCCCAAAATATCTGAGAGAAACTGGTTTTAAAAAATGAATCCTCCCTCCTTTCTATTTTTCCATACTTTTTATTATATGTGTATAATTGGCAGTTTCAAAATACAAGAGAGCATACTTTTTATTTTTTTATTTGTTTAAATTATTTTTTTTATTATTATTTTTTAATATATTTTATTGATTTTTTTTTACAGAGAGGAAGTGAGAGAGAGCCAAAAACGTCAAAGAGAGAGAAACATTGATGAAAGAGAAACATCGACCAGCTGCCTCCCGCACACCCCCCAACCAGGGGTGTGCCCGCAACCAATGTACATGCCCCTGACCGGAATCGAACCCGGGACCCCTCAGTCCGCAGACCGACGCTCCACCACTGAGCCAAACCGGTTTCGGCGAGAACATACTTTTTAAATTAAAGTGGCAGCCAGGTACTGGTTGTAAGTGCTGCTGGACTCCGTGGTGTTGGGAAGTGGCTGGCTGACCACCGGGTCTGGCTCTCCAGCACAGGAGGAAGCGCCGCGCCACCCCTTTGGCTTCTCCCTCGCCGCCCCCACCAGAGACAGAGGCCGAGGAGCTCTCACTCCAGTCCGTGATGGCCGCCCTGCAGGCCGTGGAGAAGAAGATGGAGTCCCAGGCCGCCCAGCTGCAGAGCCTGGAGAAGCGCATGGAGTCAGCCGAGAAGAAGCTGGCCGACTTCGAGAAAACGGCCGTGGAGTTCGGGAACCAGCTGGAGGGCAAGTGGGCCGTGCTGGGGACCCTGCTGCAGGAGTACGGGCTGCTGCAGAGGCGGCTGGAGAACATGGAGAACCTGCTGAGGAACAGGAACTTCTGGGTCCTGCGGCTGCCCCCGGGCAGCACGGGGGAGGCCCCCAAGGTAGGCCTTTTATTTGAGATTCTAAATGGGTGGCTTTTCCCTAATGGCTGAGACAGGGCGCACTCATCGTTTAACATTTGCGATTTCAGATGCCCAGGTCACTCGAGAACGATGGAGTCTGCTTCTCGGAGCAGGAGTGGGAGAACCTGGAGGACTGGCAGAAGGAGCTGTACAGAAACGTGATGATGAGCAACTATGAGACGCTAGTCTCTCTGAGTAAGCAGCGCATGCCGCCCCAGACATCCCACAATTCCTGGCCTGTGCTGAGTTGAGAAATGGGAGTCTCTGAGTCCTCAGTTTACCAAGATATTGGGAAAGGTCATGGTGTCATGCCTTTCTTCTTTGTGGTCACATAGTCCGATCTTGATAATATTTACTAATAGATAAGAGGTCATGATACTCATCATTTAAATATAACATAGCGAGGGTTCCTCATGCTTTTTTTTTTTTTTTTCCCCAGAGAGGAAAGGAGAGGGAGAGAGAGAGACAGGAACACCAACGATGAAAGATGATTCCTGCACACCCCCACCAGGGACCTAGCCCGTACCCTGGGAATTGAACTGTGATCTCCTGGTTCACAGGTTGACGCTCAACCACTGAGCCATGCTGGCCAGGCCTCATGCTATTTCTACTGCTTAAGACTATTTGATAAAGAATCCTTTGTTACCTGGGATGAGACAGGCAGTGTAGGCTAACCAAAAATTGTCGTTGGCACTTGTCTGGAATCAGAGCCAGTTGTGGTCTTGGTGTTTATTTTGTGTTGATTAGAAGTACTGCTTACTAGATATAGATCTTGATATGCAAAGTGTTAGCTATTACATTATAAATGCATTTTGTTTGGTAGACAAAATGTTTTACAACCTAAAAGGTTCATGGAGGATTGTCAAGAAGGCCACTGGGACTGGAGCAGAGGGGAAGGGGCAGGAGAGTAGCGAACGGGACAGATGCCTTACCTGTCACAGGTGGGGGACAAGTGCCTGCCATTCCTTGCCGTGTATTAGCACAGAGGAAAGTAAATGCCCGGAAGGAGGCCTCACTTGCAGCCACGTATGTGTGAGGACGCGGTGGTCTTGGTGGAATGAGTGATGGGCCACAGGGGACTGAAGAAGGGCTCCGAGGGGGCAGTTAGCCGAGTACATCATCCCGATGGGCCATGATTTTCTAATTGTCCCAGACTGCGAGGGGAAAGTGACAGGAACAGTCCTTTGAAGTTTTAATATTGACTCATTGACATTGGTCACCTTGTTCATCAGCAAACGACTAGTGTGCAATGAGAATATACTCTCCCGGGCTCACATTGTGCCATTTCCTACCCAGAGGTCCTTGGGCAGCCTGAAGGAGAAGCGGAGTTGGGTACAGAGATGCTGGGAGACTTGGAGGAGGAAAGCCTTGGTGGTGTTCACCCAGGTGAGTGGCTCTAGAATATTCCATTCCTCTCCCCATTCCCTGCAGTCTATGGCGAGCTTTCCCACTGCCAAACACTGATCATCAATAGCCTCGTGTGGCATTTACTTATTCTAGATTCTTTTATGATTATCACTAGCTCACCTATTTACGTGTGTCTGAACTCCTTACCGCTATTTGGAATCCTTGAGATTCGTGACCGTATCGGAGTTCTTCGTGTCCTACAGAGGAGAGTACATAATAGGCTTCAGTCAAAACCCACAGGGCACTGAGGACAGGGCATTCACAGCATCAGGAGTGAAGCTGACTGGGTGAGAGCCAGGAAAAGCATTTGTAAGCCAGGTAATTTGGGGAGAAAGTACAGGAAGAACAGCTGGCTACATGAACTTTTAAACTATAGGTTTAGTTGTGTGTGTATGTTTTTTGTTTTTTTTATCTTATTTTTATTACTTTAACACTCTCCTAAGTAAGTATAGTTTTCCAGTATGTTTAGCCATTTCTCAGAGACTGAATATAATTTGTGGACAAACTTAGAAAAACTAGCATTTATAACATTGTTCTATAAGAAGAACATATTCAGATTTTTCATTCAGACATTCACACGTCTCTACCCGAGTAAAGGTTCCACTTTCCAGGCTTTGGAACCCAGTCAGTCTCTAATGCCCTTGGCCCTCTGATGGGAGCCCTGCTGGGAGTCACAGATGTTTAGCTCCAAAGAAACCCAAGATGCTAGAATGTGACCTTTTTTGTTGGTTTTCTGTGTTTTGGCAGCAGACGGGGTTGTGATTAAGCAGGAGGTGGAGTACCCGCCGGAACGCTCTGAGGACCTTCCGGGAGAGCTCTCGGGGCCCGCGGAGGAGCCGGCCTTCCTGGGCCCGGAGCAGACTGAGCTCTGGAACACGCAGGGTGGCGCTGTCCTCTTGGAACCAGGGGCTGGGGACGCCCATCCAGAGGAGCCCGCCGAGGGCAGCAGGGACCCTGGCAGTGACAGAAGTCTGGACTGCCCCCCGAAGCAGAAGTCCAATAGGCCAGTGCCGCTGGCTCCGGAATGTAACCCGGCCCTGAAGCTGAACAGGGAAGATTTTGGCCCCTACGACTGTCCTGAGTGCGAGCTCAGCTTCCGCTGTGAGCAGCAGCTGGCCTATCTGCGGGCCCACCCATCGTGGGAGTCTTCCACCACCTCGGAGTCCGAGGAGGGTCTTAGGTCCAGGCCGCTGCTGAAGGCCTCGTCCAAGAAGGGGAAGCATCAGTGTGACGTGTGCATGAGGAGCTTCAGCAGCAAGGTGAACCTGGCCAACCACCAGCGCTGCCACTTGCAGGAGGGGCCCAGCGGTGGCCAGCGTGTCCAGGAGAGGTTCTCGCCCAACAGCCTGGTGGCCCTGCCCGGCCACATCCCCTGGAGGAAAAGCCGGAGTTGCCTCATCTGTGGTTACTGTGGCAAGAGCTTCAGCCACCCATCAGATCTGGTGCGGCACCAGCGCATTCACACGGGCGAGCGGCCCTACACCTGCCCCGAGTGTGAGCGGAGCTTCGTGCAGAAGCAGCACCTCCTGCAGCACCAGAAGATCCACCAGCGGGAGCGTGGCACGCTGGCCTCGGAGCCAGGCAGGCCCAACGGCCTGCTCTAAGGGTGCCAGCCCCCCGCCTGTCCGGGGGAGCTGAGGGGGCTGGCATTGGTCCCCCGAAGAGACACTGTGCAGAGTCAGGGACTGACTTCTTCCTTGGGGGTGTCATTTAGGTTTGGCTGACTTTGGCCAAGCAGCAGGCCGAGCCCACGCCCTCAGAACTGTGTGGAGGAGGGGCGGGGCCAAGCCTGTCCCTGCTGTCTGCCCTGCTGCTGTGTGTGCCGCGTCGTCGTCGGCGGCGGCGGCGGCGGCGCTTCCGTGTCTTGGGTTTTCCCATCCGTGCTGACACTGTGCCCTGGGGTTGGTGTGAGGGTCCGTCCCAGCGTTCCAGGTCTTCCCACGGGTGGGGTCGGGCCAAAGGAAGGAGCAGGTGTGCAGAAGAGCTCTGGAAGCACAGCCCTCTGCTTCCTCTTCGGCTGTCGTCTCCTTGTTAATAACAAGGAGCAGTAATTTAAATGAACTGCTCACCTTGCTCTGAAGAACCTTTTTTGGAATTAGATATTAGCTGATTTGAAGAAAATACAGCCTGACACTTGTGTTTTAAACTTCCCAAGTTGTGGAAGTTGTTCCTAACCTGGGGACTGCTGCCAGCTGGGAGGGAACAGTTTGGGGCCTTCTTTAGCCCGCCCACACTGAGGCCAGCGGTCAGGGTGCAGAGCGCGGGCTCCCTCTCGGACGGGGCTCGCTGAATCGGAAGGACCAAGAGGGAGAGAGGAGTGGGAGTAGACCCCAGAGCCCCCCATTGAGAACGAGGAGTCTGGGAAAGGAGCTGAGAGGCGCCTGGGTTTCTTGCAGCTCACTTCCTTTTCCACCTGCATCCTTGCTGCGTCCTGCAGCCTCACAGGGTAGACGACTCCTTCGTTACTTAAGGTGGTTCAGCTTGTATCAGCTTATATTTGAGTTTGTTCCTGTTAGACCAGTTGTTCTTGAGGTTGTCCAGATGACACACTTTCCCACTTAGTGCTGTCCCAGAGACAATGGAGAAAAAGCACGCGGGTTCTTGTCTCCCTGGAGTGCTGAATGCCTGCCGCACTGCTGTTTGGGAGTGGGCTCCTGGGTCCCGTGTGAGTGTCCCCTCTGGTGACTTGGCAGTTGCTTAGAATAAAATTTGCTACTGGCAAAAAAAATGTGCTCACGTTGGATGTTTTTCTCCAGCTGTTTGTCAAGAAGACCCTCTTAGGAGCAAGGTGGAGGAGACGCCTGACCTGGAGGGTGACTTAAACCTAGATTTGCAGACGAGAAGAGGGCATGTGTGGGACCCTGTTGGTGGACTCAGGGCTGCAGACAGTCTGCTTGTCAGTTGTTGGAAAGCAGTAGGTGGAGGAGGCAGGTACACCAGGGAGTATTGGGTAGCAGTTGGAAATACTGGCTTCAATATACATGTAGTCCTATGGGTTGATCTTGAACATACACTGCTAATTAGAAAATCTGAGATATATAACAATATCATCTATGTAAATTAAAAATGCATGTACACAAAACAAGATGGAATACATAGAAATAAAAAAAGGCACCTCAGTGTTCTGGCCATTGGGTTCAGTGGTTAGAGCGTCAGCCGGCACAATGGACAGGAGAAATGGACAAGACTGACAAGGTACAGTCAACAGCACCTGATGCTTTTTGAAGGCAGGAACCTTGTTTTAATCGTATCCAGACTCCCCATCTCTGAGAGCAGGGACTTTGCACAAAGGTGCTCAACACACGTTTATTGCATGAACAGATGCTTAAGGGGAATTCACAGAATGGGGAGCTCAGCATTGTCTGAACAGGGTCAGCTTTGAAGAGGAAGGGCTTGGTAATATTTTTGGTCTCCCTCTACAATAATTTCCCTCAGGAGTTTTACATACCTGGGTGGGGCCATTTTAAAAACTGATAGTTTTACCAAGTAAGGTGCAGCCCTGGAATTTGGGGCCAAGTTAGGAGTATTGCTTTGAAACAAGAAGGGATCAAATCAATATATGGCAGTGTTCATTGTGAAATTCCTTATTAAAGTAATGCAACGTAACAGACAATTTGCAGATGAGTGCTGAAGGCATTAAGAGGATCTCTAGTATGGACCCTCAGAGGAAAGATCCAGTTGATGTGAACCCCGAGAAGGAATTGATCTGCTGAGATGGGCTCCCCATCGTCAACCGAGGGCCCAAATTTTTAAAATAAGAGCCTGGCGGCCATTTGCCTTTGGGCTCCTCACAAATGCTGTGTACCAAGGAGAAACTCAGACTGAACTCGCAGTGTCCCCCACTATTCCCTGCTGATTTGCATCAACCTCTGAAGAGAAACCCAGGTATCATCTTCTGCCAATGGACTGAGACCTGCCCTGTCCTATCAGAACTGCACAATTTGACACCTCACATAAGAAGGACCTAATTGAAAACCTGAGTGAAAACTTTCACTGTGAAAATAGTCTTCATGCTGGTTTGGCTCAGTGGATAGAGCATTGGCCGGCGGCCTCACGGGTCCTGGGTTCAATTCCCGTCAAGGGCACATGCCTGGGTTGCAGGCTCAATCCCCAGTAGGCATGCAGGAGGCAGCCAATCAATGATTCATTCTCATCATTTATGTTTCTCTCCCTCTCCCTCTCTGAAATGAAAGAAAACAACAACACAAAAACTGCCTTAATTACCCTGTTCCGGTGCCTCGGCTTGGAGCATCATCCCATACACCAAAAGGTTATGGGTTTCATTCCTGGTCAGGGCACATACTTGGGTTGCAGGTTTGATCCCCGATCAGGATGTGTATGAGAGCCAACTCATCAATGCTTCTCTCACATCAATAAAAAAAAAAGTATATCCTCGGGTGAGGATTAAAAACAAAAATTGGCCAAAACCGGTTTGGCTCAGTGGTAGAGCATCGGTCTGCAGACTGAAAGGTCCCAGGTTCGATTCCGGTCAAGGGCATGTACCTTGGTTGCGGGCACGTCCCCAGTAGAGGATGTGCAAGAGGCAGCTGGTCGATGTTTCTTTCTCATCGACATTTCTAGCTCTCTACCCCTCCTCCTCTCTGTAGAAAATCAATAAAATATATTAAAAAATTAAAAAAAAAATTGATTCTTTGTCTTGGTGGAAGAGTTTGGGTGATTACCTTAGTCTGTGTCTCTAGGCTGAAGCTCCTTTTTGCTTAAATAACCATTTTTTATTCTTTACTAGAGGCCCAATGCATGAAATTTGTGCAAGGGGCTCAGCCCTCGCAGCCCCAGCTTCATCAGGAAGGATGTCGGAAGGACATCCAGAAGGTCATTAGGCTGTCCAGTCTAATGAGCATATTATGCTTTCATTATTATATTAATAGATTATAGGTTAAAATTATTTTTTATTTACTCTAGGAGCTCATCAGGGATTTGTCAGACCAATATAGTAAGAATTACAAAATATTGGTAAGTTGTGATCTTAGAAAATAAGAATTGATGCCCAGTGTAAACAGATGAGTTTGTGAGCTTGTTGGAAAAATATAAAATGAGTGGAAAAGCCCTAACCGATTTGGCTCAGTGGAGAGAGCATCAGTCTGCGGACTCAAGGGTCCCAGGTTTGATTCTGGGCAAGGGCATGTACCTTGGTTGCAGGCACATTCCCAGGAGGAGGTGTGCAGGAGGCAGCTGATCGATGTTTCTAACTCTTTTCCTTCCTCTCTGTAAAAAAAACCAATAAAACATTTAAATAAATAAAATGAGTGGAAAATGCAGAAAAGGTAGAAAATAAAAATTTATACTGCATACAGCATATTTCTATTCAGTGATTAACTCTGGTTTTCCACAGTAAGGCTCTTTATAAATGAGGAAACGGGTCCTATTTTGAGTGGTTTATTCAAAATGCCTCAGGGTCTGAATTAGTGGTGGATTTTCTCTTGCTGCAAGCCCAGCCTGGAGCCAGAGCTATGAAGATCCAAGATAGTGGCTGACATGCAAGGGAAGACTGGGCATTGTCAACCTAAGAAATGTTTAAACCTGTAGAGAATTTTTTTATGAGTGTATTTGAGCCAAACTGACAATTGTCGGAAAGCAAAATCTTAACATATTGAGAAAATGCTCCAGAGAATGACCGTTTTGCACCTTATTTTATACATTACAATCAAAGGAGGAGGCATAAGGGGTTACATGAAATCCATGTAACTGGACATGCTAGATGAGGGAGGTGGGAGAAAGCAAAGTGGGAAAATCTCTGAGATTGGGTAAAAAGTAAAATAAATAGACACTTCCTTTACATTTGTGGTTATAGAATAGTTAGCAGTTAACACCATAACAAATCACAAGGGGTTTTGTGATCTTTGCTCTGGTGCAGAGAAGGGGTCCAGAAAAAAAGGAAATTACCCTGACATTTCTCATTTCTTCTTTTTTTTTAATCCTCGCCCAAAGATATGTTTCTTATTGATTTTTTAGAGAGGGAGGAAGGGAGAAAGAGAAGTATCGATCGGCTGCTTCCCGTAAGGAGGGTTTGTGGTCTCTGCTCTGGTGCAGTGCGGGGCCTAGAAAAAAATTACCCTGGCCTTTCTTTTTCTTTCCTTTTTAATCCTCACTCAAGGATATATGTGTGTTTGTTCATCTTTTAATTTTTTAGAGGAAGAGGAAGGTGGAGAGAGGGAAAGAGATCGGTTGCCTCCCATACTTGCCCCAACCGAGGATCAATTCCACAACCGAAGTATGTGTCCTGACTGGAAATTGCACCCGAAACGTTTTTTGGTGCATGGGATGATGCTCCAACCAAATGAACCGCCTAGCCAGGGCACCTGGCATTTCAGAGATGCAAAACGACAATGGACAGGCTCAGTTAAGGTAAAGATTGACCTTTTGTCAGGGTAGCTTTTGTTAGAAAGGTTTTTAAAAAAATATATCTTATTGATTTTTTACAGAGAGGAAGAGAGAGGGATAGAGAGCCAGAAACATCGAAGAGAGAGTCATCGATCAGCTGCCTCTTGCACCACCCTTACTGAGGATGTGCCCGCAACCAAGTTACATGCCCTTGACCGGAATCGAACCTGGGACCCTTCAGTCCGCAGACCGAGCCTCTATCTACTGAGCCAAACCGGTCTCAGCTTGTCAGAAAGTTTTAATTTCAGACCATCCTGTGTGGTTACTTTAGGTCTCAGTTTGTAAGGCACAGGGAGCAGGCCTTTGCTGAGCTTGTCAGGTTTAGTATGTGGCCTCTTTTTGGTCCTCAGCATGGCACAGAGGGCTTCGGGGGCACGGCGTGGCACAGAGGACTTACACAGCTCTGCTCAGGAGCTAGGTCCCAGGGCGGGAAGAGGGGACTGAGGATTCCCAAAGCTGTTTGGAGAAGAGAGGGAAGGCTGTGGTTTTTTTTTGTTGTTGTTGTTGTTATTGTTTTAATATATTTTATTGATTTTTTTACAGAGAGGAAGGGAGAGAGAGAGCTAGAAACATCGATGAGAGAGAAACATCGACCAGCTGCCTCTTACACACCCCTTACCGGGGATGTGCCCGCAACCAAGGTACATGCCCTTGACTGGAATCGAACCTTTCAGTCCGCAGACCGATGCTCTACCACTGAGCCAAACCGGTTTTGGCTGTGTTTGTTTGTTTTTTAATGAATTAAATTTTTTCCTGAGGTCTTTCTCTGGAAAACTAAGAGATTTAGCCGGACTGGCGTTGGTTCAGTGGTTGAGCGCCGACCTATGAACCAGTAAGTCTGGGTTGCAGGCTTCATCCCCAGTAAGGGGCTTGTAGGAGGCAGCCTGACAGTGATTCTCTCTCTTCACTGATGTTTCTATCTATCCCTCTCCCTTCCTCTCTGAAATCAATCACTCACTCAATGATAGATAGATAGATTTTAAGAGTTAAAACCTTCACCATCCCCTACCTTTTTTCCTGGGCAAGAAGTACTATTCTCAAACTAATAGTCACGTTGGGTCCATTAGAGATGTTAAAACGGAGACTACATACACTTGAGATTCCCCATCGGAGGTTGGGGCGAGCGGAAACGCCCCCAAGTTTTGAAAAGTCATGCATTTCCCCTGTCTGGCCCGATTCCTGGGTGGCACATTGGGGTTCCTAACACCCCTCCTCCCATCCCCCCCATCCTGCAGAGGGTGCGGGGCCGGCCTGGGTCCCGCAAGCCACGTCTGCGCGCGGCCCGCCCCCGCCCGCCGGCGTCCACGCCCGCGGCCCAGGCGAGGCGGGCGGCCCCGCGGCCGCCGGACACCGGGCTGCGGGCCGCGAGCGTGCGGTCCTTCGGGCTGCAGGGGGCGCTGTGCGCGCCCGCGGGCGCGGCCGCGAGCGCAGCTCTTGTTTAAAGGGCCGGCGGGGCACGTGGCCCGGACGCAGCAGCTCGCGGCCGCCGGGCTGAGGCTCCGAGGCTGGGCGGCTCCGCTCCGCCTCCGCCGCCGCCAGCGCGCCGGGCCCACAGGCCGCCGAGGAGCCGCGAGCGAGGGACGGCAGCCATGGCCGAGGCGGCGCCCGAGCGGGTAAGCGCGGCCCGCGGACGGCGCCGGGCGGGCGGGCCGCCCTCGTCTCTCTCTGCCGGGCGAGCGGCCGGGCGGCCCAAAGGCCGGGCCGGGCGCGGGCGGCCCGGAGCGGGATCGGCCGGCTTTCCAGGTGACAGGCCTTGCGCCTGAAGAGGGTGGCCGGCCCGTCCATGGGTCCCTGGAGGCCGGCGGCCGGGGCGGCGGGGGGTGGGGGGGGTGGGGAGGGCAGGGGCTCCGGCCCCGATGGGTCCGAGTCTGAGGCTCAGGGAAGGGACCGGCCCAGGGTCACACGCAGGCGAATCACATCCCCGTTAAGGCACCCAGTATCCTGCCAAAACCGGTTTGGCTCATGGATAGAGCGTCGGCCTACGGGTCCCGGGTTCGATTCCGGTCAAGGGCATGCACCTTGGTTGCGGGCACATCCCCAGTAGGGGGCGTGCAGGAGGCAGCTGATCGAAGATTCTAGCTCTCTATCCCTCTCTCTTCCTCTCTGTAAAAAAAAATCAATAAAAAATATATATATTTTTTAAAAATATATATATATAGGGCACCCAGTATCTACTTTTACCTAAGGCAAAGGTGCTAAACGCTGTTTACAGGAGAGATTGGAGGTGGATTTCATTTTATTTGTAAAGATTACTTTATCACGCCCAAACCGGTTTGGTTCAGTGGATAGAGCGTCGGCCTGCGGACTGAAAGGTCCCGGGTTCGGTTCCGGTCAAGGGCATGTACCTTGGATGCGGGCACATCCCCGGTAGGGGGCGTGCAAGAGGCAGCTGGTCTATGTTTTTCTCTCAGCGGTGTTTTTGTTGTTGTTGTTGTTGTTTTTTAAATATATGCAGAGAGGAGGAGAGAGGGATAGAGAGCTAGAACTAGCTGCCTCTTGCACACCCCCTACCGGGGATGTGCCCGCAACCAATGTACATGCCCTTGACCGGAATCGAACTTGGGACCCTTCAGTCCACAGACCCTCGCTCTACCACTGAGCCAAACCGGTTTCAGCTTTCATCGGTGTTTCTGACTCTCTATCCCTCTCCCTTCCTCTCTGTAAAAACTCAATAAAATGGCCGAACCCACTCGCCCGGGTTCGGTTCCGATCCAGGGGCATGTACCTTGGTTGCGGGCACATCCCCAGTGTGGGGTGTGTAGGATCGATGTTTCTTTCTCATTGGTGTTTCTGACTCTCTATCCCTCTCTCTTTCTCTCTGTAAAAAAACCAATAAAATAAATGTTTAAAAAAATCAATAAAATATATTTTAGGGAAAGATTACTTTATCATGTTTTAGAATGTTGGCTGATGATGTTCTCTATGTACAAATCAGAGAAAGCAATCCTTTGGTCGTTTGGACCCAGAAGAAAAGCCACGGTAAAGAGCTCTATAACAGGTACCTACTGTGTCACCACATGCCAGTAAAGTTTTCTGAACCTTGATTTTTCTGAATGCTTCTCAAGGAGGAACTGTCTCTCCCGCCCCTTCCTGGAGGTCTCCCCGAGAGCCAGGGCGAGACAGGAGGTGGCAGGTCTGCAGGTTTGCTGGAAAGCGCTCCAGATGGCCTTTCTGTAACTGTTCAGGCGACATCTTCAGCTCCCACCCAGCCCAGGACCCCTCCCTCAGCACTCCTGACCGTTCCCGTCCACCTGCTTCTTCCCCTCTACCCACTTGCATCAGCTTCCTAGAAAAGCTCCCAAATAGGACTGATTTGCCCTCAACTTTGTTAGCCTTTGGGTATCACTCTTGTATTTCTTTTTTTAAAAGTATATATATATATATAAACCGGTTCCGGCTCACTCTTGTATTTCTATACAGAATTTTTCTCCTGGAGAAGAAAGAAAGAGCCAGGTAGTTTTTCTGCATCCCCGTTAAGGATAACTTGTTGCCGGAAACCGATCATTGTCATTAATAGAAAGTTGTGGACAGGGAATGCCTGGAAGGCTGGTCAACCTTCATTGCTCTGAAAGGTCGGAGCTAATCACTCATGTTTAGTTTGAGAGACATTGGTAGCTAAAGCAGCCTCCGCCTGTTAGTCTTATCTAAATTCTTCCTGATTGGCTATTATTGGAATTTCCTGCCTGAAGGGTATGAGTGTATCTCATAACCTTAGTAAAAGGGATGGCAAAGCCAGAGCAGAGAGGGGAAGTGTTGTCCTCCCCCTAGAGGTGGGCTCCCACCTGGCCCCCAATGTTCCTAAATTAATACTGTTCTAGTCTCTCTCATTTGTGTGCGGCCTTCTCCAGAACCTGAACCCTGAACCATGCGGGACGTGAAAGGGGTTCCCACAACATGTGTTCTGTAATTGTTACTGGATGAATGTTTAGTCGTTCCTTTATTCAATAGGTTTTACTTGAGCGCCTGCTCTGAGTGAGGCACTTTTAGAAGCTGGGGATACAACAGTGAATTAGCACCTGCCCTCATGGAGCTTATGTCCCTATGGGGAAACCGTAACCCAGGCAGACACACAGGGTTGTCCTAGGTTATTAGTGCTATGAAGGAGGGGGCGCTCTTTTATTTTTAAAAAAATATATTTTATTGATTTTTTACAGAGAAGAAGGGAGAGAGATAGAGAGCCAGAAAAGTCGATGAGAGAGAAACATCAACCAGCCGCCTCCTGCACACCCCCTATTAGGGATGTGCCCGAAATCAATGTACATGCTCCTGACCGGAATTGAACCTGGGACCTTTCAGTCCGCAGGCTGCTGCTCTATCCACTGAGCCAAACCGGTTGTGGCAGGGCGCTCTTTTAGATGTGTAGGTCTGGGAAGGTCCCAGTGAGGCAATGTCTAAGCTGGAAGTTTGTATGAGTGGAAGCCAGGAGGAGAGCTCATGCAGAGGTGGAGGAGGCCAAGGAGGCCAGGGTGGCTGGAGAGCAGTCAGTGCCCAGGAGGAGACAGGTCAGGGAGGTAGGCTGCAGTCTGCGAAGAAGTTTAGGTTTTGGCCGAAACCGGTTTGGTTCAACGGATAGAGCGTCGGCTTGGGGACTGAAAGGTCCCGGGTTCGATTCCGGTCAAGGGCATGTACTTTGGTTGCGGGCATATCCCCGGTAGGGGGTGTGCAAGAGGCAGCTGATTGATGACTCTCATCAATGTTTCTGACTCTCTATCTCTCTCCCTTCCTCTCTGTAAAAATCAATAAAATATATTAAAAAAAAAAAAAAAGAAGTTTAGGTTTTGCACTAGCCGGTTTAGCTCAGTGGATAGAGCATTGTTTGTGGACTGAAGGATCCTGGGCTCTATTCCGATCAAAGACACATGCCTAGGTTGAGGTTGAGGGCTCAATCCCTAGAAGGGGGCGTGTAGGAGGCAGTCAGTCAATGATCATCATCATTGATGTTTCTATCTCTCTCTCCCTCTCCCTTCTCTGAAATCAATAAAAATATACATATTTTTAAAAGTTTAGATTTTATTCTAGGTGTACTGGGGAGCTGAGGAGAGTACTGGGAAGGTGGGAAGAAGGGGGGAAATGAATTGGGCGGAATTGCAGTGGCTCAGGCGACAGGTGAGGGGGTTTGGACTAGGTGATGGCAGTGTAGGAGGAGGATGGATCTGAGATGATTTCAGAAGTCAAAGAGTAAGACTTGATAGTGATTTGACTGAGACGGATGAGTGACATGGAGGGGCGATATGTTTTGCCATTCCAACAAGGCTTTTAGCAAGATGCACTGGGACTGAGGCTGTTGTGCATGCTCAGGGGGGCCTGTCATCAGGCACCCACGTGAGCTGAGGCACTGCAGAAGCTCTTTTCCACGGCGCGCGAGGACCTGGGATGAAAGGTGGACCAGACGGCTGTGTGCACCATTCATACTGCCTTCCTGAGCCAGAGCCACCATATCCTCAACGTTCTCCTCACGGTCATCTTAGCCGAGTCAACACAGGCTCACATTTATTGAGAAGCACAGGCTAGACATTGTGCCGAGTGCTTTTTACCAAATCGTGTCATTAATTCTCACAATCGTGTCACGTAGGTACTGTTATTAGCTCCATTTCCTAGATATGAAGGGACACTGAAAGGTGTTTAAGAAACCTTGCTCTCCGTCAGCCAGGTGGAGTCGCCAGTGGCACCCAGGCTGGCTGAGTGCAGAGCTCACGTGCTCTGTACCTCATGCTCAGCTGCCCCTTCGTTTTCAGAGGAAGAGAGCCAGACCCAGGTGGGGAGTCACCTGCCTGAGACCACAGATCCTTCTTCCTCTGGCCATGTTTTTCCTCCTGTTTCTCACTTGCTGATACCTCGGGCCAGACAGTGTCTCCTGTCCTGGCCTTGTAACTGATGTCCTCACACCCCCGCCCCTGACACGGCCGCCTGACTGGCCTCCAGGGCCCCACATGAGGCTTGACCGAGGCAGGTGCCATTCTGAGGTTTCTTTTCGAGGCGGGCATTTTGGCTGTATGGTTCTGATAACGTTTCTCCTTTCTCTTGTTGTGTGCAGGCGTCAGAGAGGGACAGACAAACAGGGGATGAGAGACCTTCGACAACTTCTCCATCATCCCAGCAGGCTGCGGAGAAGAACTCCTACCTCTACTCCACGGAGATCACCCTGTGGACAGTGGTGGCTGCTATCCAGGCCTTGGAGAAGAAAGTGGACTCCTGCCTGGCCCGCTTGCTGACTCTGGAGGGACGGACGGGGACGGCCGAGAAGAAGCTGGCTGACTTCGAGAAGACGACCTTGGAGTTCGGGAACCAGCTGGAGGGCAAGTGGGCCGCGCTGGGGACCCTGCTGCAGGAGTACGGGCTGCTGCAGAAGCGGCAGGAGAACATGGAGAACCTGCTGAGGAACAGGAACTTCTGGATCCTGCGGCTGCCCCCGGGCAGCAAGGGGGAGGCCCCCCAGGTAACCTGGGCACCTGGGGTGGGACAGCCCGAGGGGCTGCACCTGTAAGTGTGGGTGGGCATTCATGACAACTGTGGTTCCAGGTGCCCGTGACCTTTGACGATGTGGCCGTGTATTTTTCCGAGCTGGAGTGGGGCAAGCTGGATCCTTGGCAGAAGAATCTGTACAAGCACGTGATGAGGGGCAACTATGAGATGCTGGTCTCCCTGGGTAAGGCCGAGTCATAGCATCCGGGCCTCTGTTTGTGTCTTCGCTTTGGCTTCTGTCCCTCTGGTGTCTCTGCATCTGTGTAGTGAACCGGGTGACAGGTGTCCTGACCCAGCTCTCTCTCTCTCTCTCTCCAGATTACGCCATCTCCAAACCAGACATCCTCACTCGGATAGAGAGGGGAGAGGAGCCTTGTCCTGAAGGCCTGTGGGGCCAGGAGGAGGGGGAAGAGAGAGAGGAAGCTTGCCCAGGCAGGCCGGACGCTGGTGAGTGGGAGCAAGATGGTGAGGGCAAACTAAACCGTGTGCCTGCTCTCCTGGGCTTCCCAGACATGCTGTGAGGCCAGGAAGGGAACACAGGCACATAACCTAAGGTGGGGCATGCTCTGTGCCAGGCCCGCCAGTTGGGTAGGTACAAGGATTTTGCCTTAAGAGCCATAGGGTTTCTGCCTCTGTGCAAGAGGAGAGCGGACTTCGCCTTACCCGACAGTTATGGGGACTAAAAGTGGTGGCAGGCTTTGCAAAGCTGAGCATTTTACGGTAAATAGGAACCTGCTACTAGCAGTGCTACTAGTAGCAGCAGCATTATTGCCACCACCTCCCAGTTCCCAACTGTGTAACCTGCAGCTGTAAGGCCTGAACTGTACCGGCTTCCCTCTGTGGAAATGGACCCTCTCACAGGAGCCTGCGGCCGGTGTCCTCCCCACAGCTGGTGTGTACAGAACAGAGGTTCCAAAGTTGACTGCATATCAGAATCTTCTGGGAACTTTTTAAAAATAAAATTAGAAAAAGTAAGGGAAAGTGGAGAAAGTACAGTGACCGTCCAGATGATCATCCCCCAGATTCACCAGGGATGAAGAGTTTGCTACATTTGCTGTATCCATCTCTTTCTCCCCAAAACAGCCCAAATACCTCTGTCTCTGGCTTCTTTCACATAGCATGTTTTCAAGGCTCATCCATGTTGTACTGAGTATCGATGCTTTCTTTTTTTTCTTATTGTGGTCAAATACACATAACATAAAATTTACCATCTTAACTGCTTTTATGTATGCAGTTCAGAGACATTAAATAATTCATAGTGTTTGCAACTATCACCACCATCCATCTCCAGAATTCTTTTCATCCTTTTTCATCCCGTGGCACATACAAACTAATTACTAAAATTCTGTGGCATACCAAAAAGTGTATTTTTTGCTGGCCTGACCAAAAAATAGGTATAATTTTAATTCATTCACACTGACAGCTATTGTGTTGGTAGTTGTCTTTTTTTTTTTTTTTTAAATCATCACCCGAGGATAGTTTTTCCATTAATTTTTAGGAAGAATGGAGGAGAGAGGGAGGCACAGAGAGAAACACCAATGTGAGAGAGACACATCGATTGGTTGCCTCCCATATGTCCCTTACCAAGGCCAGGAGCCTGAACTGAGGTCCGTGCCCTTGACCGGATTCAAATCCAGGACCCTTCAGTCCACAAGCCAATGCTCTATCCACTGAGCCAAACCAGCCAGGGCAAGTTGTCATTTTTTATTTGACAATCTAAGGAAAAAGAGCTCAGTGCCCCTGATTAAATTGTCAGGTATTGCATGTTTTAAATTTCTTGTGGCACACCACTGAAAAATGTTCTGCATCATTAAATAATAACCACTCATTCTGCCCCTCCCCCAACCCTGGCACTCACAGTTCTATGATTTTGATTACTCTTGAGCACCTCATGTAAATAGATTCTCATACAACATTTGTCTACTTATGACTGGCTTATTCTATTTAGCATAATGTCCTCCGTGTTCATCCATGTTGTAGCCTGTGCTAGAATTTCTTCCTTTTTACTTTTTTTTATATTTTATTAATCCTCACCTGAGGATATTTTCCCCTTGATTTTTAGAGATATTGGAAGGGAGGGGGAGAGATGGAAAGAGAAAAAAACATTGAGGTGAGAGAGACACACCGATTGGTTGCCTCTTACACTCATCCCAACCAGGGCTGCGAGTCAGGTCTGGGGATTGAGCTTGCAACCCAGGTACATGCCCTTGACTGAAATCAAACTCAGAACCCTTCAGTCCTTAGGCCTACATTGAGCCAAACTGGCTAGGGCCATTTCTTCCTTTTTAAGGTCGAGTAATATTCTATTGCATGGATAAACCACATTTTGTTTATCTCTTAATCTATTGATGTGCACTTAGGTTACTTCCCCCTTTTAGCTCTTGTGAATAATGCTGTTATGTTCATGGATGTACAAATATGTCTTCAGTACTCTGCCTTCAGTTCTTTAGGTATAAACTGAGAAGTGGAATTGCTGGATGATGTGGTTCTATTTTTAATTTTTTTTGAGGAGCCGTCATACAGTTTTCCATAATGGCTATACTGTTATTTTCTGTTGTTGTTTTTTAATAGTAGACATCATAATGAGTGTGAAGTAGTATCTCATTATAGTTTTGATTTGCATTTCCCTGATAGTGATGTTGAGAAACTTTCCGTGTCCTTATTGACCATTCTCATTGACTTATTGAAATACTTCCTTTGGAGAAACGTCTATTCAAGTCCTTTGCCATTTTTGAGTCAGATTGTTTCTTTGTTGTTGTTTTAGGAATTCTCTATATACTCTGTATATTAATCTCTTACATGATAGTTGATTTACAAATATTTTCTTTCATTCTGTGAATTGCTTAATTATGTTGATAGTGTCTTTGATGCAAAAATTTTAAATTTTTCACAAAGTCTAGTTTGTCTATTGTTTCTTCTTCTTTTTTTAATGTATTCTATGTCCTTTTTAATGGTCACTATTTCTTTAAGTCCTCACTGAGATTATCCATTCTTCTTTGAAGGTCCTTGAGCATCCATATAACCATTGTTTTAAACTCTGTATCTGATATTTTGGTTGCTTCCATTTCATTTAATTATTTTTCTGGGCTTTTCTCTTGTTCTTTCATTTGGGGCATTTTTCTTTGTCTCCCCATTTTGCCTGTGTATTAGATAGATCTGCTATGACTCCCAAACTTGCTATAATGGCTTTATGATGAAAGTGTCTTGTTGCTGTCTAGTGTTTAGTGTCTAGTATTTCTTTTGTGGCCTGTGTCTTTAGTGTCATATTCAAGAAATCGTTACCAAATCCAGTGTCATGAAACTTTTGTCCTGTTTTCTTCTAAGAGCTTCATGTTTTAGGTTTTGCATTTAGGCTTTGATCCATTTCAGTTAATTTTTATACATGGTGTTATGATAAGGGTCCAACTTCATTCTTTTGCATGTGGATATTTAGTTTTCCCAGCCACATTTGTTCAAAGATTGCTTTTTCCCCATTAAATGGTCTTGGCACCCTTCTCAAACATCATTTGACCAGATACGTGAGGGTTTATTTCTTTGTTCTCTATTCTATTTATTCTGGTTCATGCCAGTACCACAATATTTTGATTACTGCAGCTTTGCAGTAAGTCTTGAAATCAGGAAGTTATTCAATTTTGTTCTTCTTTTTCAAGATTATTTTGGATATTTGGGCTCCCTTGAGATTCCATATGAATTTTAGGATGGATTTTTCTATTTCTGAAAAAAAAAAAAAAAGATTGCCATTGGGATTTTAATAAGAATTACATTAAATCTGTAGATTACTGAGGGTGATATTGACATCTTCATAAGTCTTTCAATCCATGAACATGGGATGTTTCCACTTATTTATGTATTTACAGTAATACCCCCTTAATCCACTGTTTTGTTTTCCATGGTTTTAGTTACCTGCAGTCAACCGAGACCCGAAAATATTAAATGGAAAATTTCAGAAGTAAACAATTCATAAGTTTTAAATTACATGCCATTCTGAGTAGCGTGATGAAATCTCGCGCTGTCCTGCTGCATCCTGCCCAGGATGGAAATCATCCCTTTGTCCAGCGTATCCACACTGTATATATTTCCCATCTGTAAGTCACTTAGTAGCCGTCTTGGTTATCATATCGACCGTCAAGGTATCACAGCACTGTGTTGAAATAACCCTTATTTTTACTTAATAGTGGCCCCAAAGCCATTGACATAACTTTTATTATAGTATATTGTTATAATTATTCTATTTTATTATAGTTATTGTTGTTAATCTCTTAATATGCCTACTTAATATATTAAACTTTATCATAGGTATGCATATATAGAAAAAAACATAGACTATAGAGAGTTCAGTACTACCTGTGGTTTCAAGAATCCACTGTGGGATATATCCCACATGGATGGGGTACTAATGTAATTTCTTTCAGCAATGTTTGTAGTTTTTATTGTAAAAGTCTGTCACTTCCTTTGTTAAGTTATTCTTAAGGTATTTTTAATATGATTATAAATGAACTTGTTTTTATAATTTCCTTTTCAAATTGTTATTGTACATTATTAGCATATAGAAATGCAACTGATCTTTTTATGTTTCATTTTATTATCCTGCTAACTTGCAACATTTATTAATTAGTTTTAACAATTTTTGAGCGGAATATATATATTCATATCTATGAACAAATAATTTTTTTCCTTTCCAATTTAGATGCCTTTTATTTCTTTTTCTTGCTCTGGCTAGAACTTCCATCACTTTGTTGAATAGAAGTGGTGAAATTGGACATCCTTGCCTTATTCCTAATCTTAAAGAAAAGCTTTTATTTTTCACCATTAGATATGATGTTCACTACGGGTTTTTAATATATGACTTTTGTTGTGTTGAGGTAGTTTCCATCCGTGTTTGTCAGGCAAAGGTATTTGATTTTGTCAGATGCTCTTCCTGCATCAATTGAGATCATCTCGGGGCTTTCCCCCCTTCATTCTGTTAATATGGTGTAATCCATTCATATAGTTTCATATGTTGAACCATCTTTGCACTCCGGGAACAAACTTCATTTGGTCGTGATGTTTAAACCAATGCTTGGTTTTGTTTTGCTCTTTTTTTTGTTGAGGATTTTTGCATCAATGTTCATAAGAGATATGGGTATGTAGTTTTCTTGAAGTGTCTGTCTGGCTTTGGTAACAGTGTGGCTTTAATAGTACTCTCATAAGTGTGGTTACATATCCTTTTATTTGTTTATAGGTCATTTAATTTCTTATTCTGTGAAATATTTGTTCATCTTTTTTGCCTTAGGAAGCTTTTAAAAAATATAAACTTCCTAGGCCCACCCAGATCTACTGATGAGAATCTTGGGAGTGCTCCCTAGGGGATCCTTATATACCAGCCTGGAAGAGGACTTGGGGTTGGGAACCATGGCTGTAGTGTTCTGAGCCAGGAGTCCTGAAAAAGCCAGGTCTGTGGTTCTGTGGTGTGACCTGCCTGTACTATCAATAAGTTACGTGCCACCCTGTCTCCTTCTCTCACAGATGGAAGCTTTCGGACCTCAACCGCTGGTTGGCAACTGCTGGCCTAGAATGTAGTCACTAGAGGATCAGTGAAGTCCACTTAATTATCATATCCTGTGTTTGACCCGATATGTCCCAGGTCCCAGTGGCTGCAACTAGCCAGTTCCCAGAGGCTCTGGCTCCCTGTTTGGACTCTGTGTTGTTCTCGGTGTCACTGACTAGCGTATCCCACTCTCCCTCCAGTTCCAGAGCACGTTCCCAGCCCAGTCAGGTCTGACCAGGAGGGTCCAAGTGAAAGGCAGAGCCCCGAGCACCAGAGAGACTCAGGAGCAAGAGTGACTCCACCGGGAGCAAGCACGGGTGAGTGAGGGCTGTCAGGTGGCAGTGTGACCGGCATCCCAGCGACAGTGCCAGCCAGCGGCACTGAGAAGAGGGTGGGGGAATGGCTGGGACTGCCCGAGCTGAGTGGGACAGGTGTCCTAGAAAAGGTGCCACTGAGATGAGCCGCAGAAGAAGTCAGTTTTGCTGGGAACGGCATTTCTGCAGGAGAAAAGAGTCTGAGCAAAGGTGTGCGTTCCTCAGGTGTGCTGGGGGCCGGACACACTGGTCTGTCTGGAGTGAGGGGAAAGGCACAAGAGGGCAGGTGACAAGCTGCTTACGGGGGCCTCATTGAGGGAGTTATGTGTCACACACCTCGCATGGGGCCAGCCTGTGTTCTCGTCAGCACCTATCGTCTTTCTGAAGGCCTGTGAGGAGCTCTGTGGCCTTAGCCACCCTTTCCAGTGTTCCCTGCCTGCTTCTTTTAGAGGAAACTCCTGCCATCCTTTCCCAAAAATGAAGTATAATTCAGAGGGCATTAGCCTGACGCCTGCCAGATAACTCAGAGCCATTTTCTTTTTTTTCTTTTTTATTGATTTACAGAGAGGGATAGAGAGTTAGAAACATCGATGAGAGAGAATCATCGATCAGCTGCCTCTTGCACACCCCCTACTGGGGATGCGCCCACAACCAAGGTACATGCCTCTGACCGGAATCGAACCCGGGACCTCTCAGTCCGCAGGCCGACGCTCTATCCACTGAGCCAAACCAGTTTCGGCTCAGAGCCATTTTCAGACGACGCTTTGCTGCCTTGGCTTTCTCTGTGCCTCCTTCTTCCTGCTGGCCTGGCTTGTCGGGGTTCTTTCTCTCCAGTTACTTTGTGCATCTCCCACACTGAATATGGCCGCCTCTCCCTTCCCTGTTCCCCTCCTTCCTGGCCACTGACTGTGTAAGGAGAGGTAGGACCCTTTCATGGTCCCTGTCTGTTGCAGACATGGCACTGTGCCCCAGGGGCCTCCCCAACCCTTCTGTCCTTTAGAGGCCCAACAGAGTGACACTCAGAGGCCAAGGGACCAGTTGTCGGCCCTGGGGAGCATGGGGCCCCTCTTCCTGGCAGGTGCTGGGGCATCTCCTGCTGGGAAATGGCTGTGCCACCTTGCAGGAGCCTCACAGGATTCTCTCCCACAGGGCCCCCAGCCAGAGCCAGCGTTTTGTCCACAATTAAACAGGAGGAAGATTCTTCAGATGGGGAGCCCCCTATCTCCCCTCCTAGGGGCATCCTGCCCAGCGTGGGTCTAGGTGAGTGAAGGGAGAAAACCCTGTGGCCACGCAGAGCCTCCGAGGAGCTCGGAGTCCCTTTGGCATGATGGGACCTGCTAGGTTTCCTCCTGAGGGTCTCTTCATCCCCCAGGTTTTACATCCCGGGGGCTCTGGAGACCCAGAGCCTCTGTGGTCTGGTCTTCCCTCGCTGTGAGCCGGCCTGGCGGGAAAGTGCTGCTTGGAAACGAGCTGCCTGTCGGCAGGTTTGTGGTCAGGTGACAGAAAAGCCTCATGGTGACTAGGCGTGGCCCAGGTCACAGCCTCCAGGATCTTACAGCTTGTGTGCGATTTAAATTTAGTCTATGTACTTTTTGTAAACTGGCTGACCCTGTGGTGAACAAGAAAAAGAAAGTGATTGTTGCCTATTCTGGCCTTGGGGCAGATGGTTCTGTAGCTGTAGGACTAAGTTAATACCAGTGGATTATTTCTTTTAAAAAAATATATATATTTTATTGATTTTTTACAGAGAGGAAGGGAGAGATATAGAAAGCTAGAAACGTCAATGAGAGAGAAACATCGACCAGCTGCCTCTTGCACACCCCCTACTGGGGGTGTGCCTGCAGCCCAGGTACATGCCCTTGACCGGAATCGAACCTGGGACCTTTCAGTCTGCAGACCGACGCTCTACCACTGAGCCAAACCGGTTTCGGCACCAGTGGATTATTTCTAACAGCAGTGAAGTTCTGTCCTGAGATATCGGTGAGGGTTATGGGGGAGCTTCAGGGAGCAGAGCGCCTAAGGGCTTGCATCGGGTGCTGTCCCTGGAGGCCCACCATGGAAGGGTTCCTGAGGGCACTAGCCTGGCTTGTGGTTTAAGTTCAAGCTTCAGCAAGAATAGAAATTTCTCTGGTCCTAGATCCGGGAAGTTGCTTGTAAAGGGCTGAAGATTTTCATTTTAATGTGCAGAGGTCAGGGTTCACAGTCACCCTTTGAGCAGACCTTGAGGTCTAGCGGCTGAGGCCACCAGGTGCTGGGGGAGAGTAGAAAAGAACGGTGGGGCTGACTGCAGAGCGGACCAGCGGTGAACGCAGTGGGAGGATTGTAGGACGCAGTGTGCCAGGCAGGGCTCAGTAGCCAGCACCCTCCTTACCACCATTAGGGACCCCTGGGTCCTGTTCCCCCAGCCCACCCTCTCACTGCTGTGTCCTGGAAGCTCTTCTGCCTAAGTCCCGTCTGAGCCTCACTGAGGCCCCACCGGGAAGCCCAGATCCTCGTGCCTCCTGCCCGGCACCTGTGCGTCACCCAGAATACAGGCGCTCCGTGTGGATTGGTTACACGGATACGTAGCTCTCAGTGTGGCTGGGGCATACAGCACCTCCCGCCCTGAGGCCTCTGACCTAGTCCGGAGGTAGTCAGGGCCCATAAGGCTGATTGGCTTCCAAAGATTGAGACTAAAGTCATGGAGGTCCTGCACGGCCAGCCATCTCAGGGTTCAGGGCCCCTGCCTGTCTTTTTCCCTCTTCATTTCCCCACCTATCTGTCTCCCACTGGTCTGGCCTCCTGACTCCCTGGTTTTTCAGCTCTGTCTCTCTTTCCTGACATTCTGGCTTGGCCTGCAGGCATGGGCCAAGTGACCAGCAGACGGGGTGGCATGAGGAGGCAGCCCCGTGGGTGGGGCTGAGCGAGAAGGTCCCCTGCCCCCTGTGGTGAGTCCTGCAGGAGAAAGAGTTCGGGAAGGCAGGAGGGGGGTGCCTGTGAGCTGTGCCAGGAGGGCCCGGCCGGGGCAGGGGTGGGGGTGATCCACAGGATATCCACGGAGATTCCTTTCGGCAGGTGCTGCCGCCGGTCTGGTCATCAAGACGGAAGCAGAGTCTGAGGACGAGATGATGCCGGAGCAGCTCTTCCTGGGGAAGCCCCCCTGCCAGGCCCAGAGCACAGGCCCCCAGGGGCCCAACAGCAGGAACGCGGGTCCCCGCCAGCTTCTTGCCCAGGGGGTGCCCAGGGTGCGGCCCGGAGACCCTCGGCCTCGGCCCGCAGGGGCAGCGGGCGAGGCGCCCCGCACCCTCCCGCGCCGGCGGGAGCGGACGTTCCCCTGCCCCGACTGCGGGCAGAGCTTCCGCCTGAAGATCAACCTGACCATCCACCAGCGCACCCACGTGGAGGAGCAGCAGCGCCAGGCGCGGGCCAGCTCGCCCAGCGGCTGGGGGGAGGCGCCCTCGGCGCTGGAGCCCGGGGAGGTGGTGGTGTCCGGGCCCGTCATCCGCTGGCTCCCCGAGGAGCCCCCGGGCCGCCGCGCCCTGGCCGGCCGGGCCTTCGCGGGGCGGCGGCCGGCGGCCAAGCTGTACCACTGCAGCGAGTGCCTGTGCTTCTTCCAGCGCCGCAAGAACCTGCTGCTGCACCAGCGGCTGCACACGGGCAACGGCCAGGGCTGGCCGGCCTGCCCCTACTGCGGCAAGGCCTTCCGCCGGCCCTCCGACCTCTTCCGCCACCAGCGCATCCACACCGGCGAGCGGCCCTACCAGTGCCCGCAGTGCGGCCGCGCCTTCAACCGCAACCACCACCTCACCATCCACATGCAGACCCACGCGCGCGGCCAGGCCTGCGCCTCGCCCCCCGCCTGCCCCGGGAGCCCGCCCCGGCCGCGGCCCGGCCACGCGGAGGAGGGCTGACCGGGCGGGAGCCCAGGCCCCGGCAGGTGCTTCTCTCCGCCTGCTGGGCCTGATGCTGGTTCCTAGTTCTGGGATGGCTTTGGAGAGATTTTTTTTTTTTTTTTTTTTTTCTTATTCAAATGGGAAGCAGCAGCCTTATTGGTGACAGTGTATGATAGCGACAGTTGCCTCCATTTCCTGTTTCCTCGGTTGGTCACTCTTCGCTGCCTATTCTACATTCCTGAGTTATAAAGGACCCCCTAAGGCTTAGGGGTGCCGTGTTTTGGGTGGGGGCCTTTGCCGATTCCGTGGACGGGCACGTGGACCAGGGATCACGGTTCTTTCAGTAGCGGTGATGGGAACATTGAGGTGCTGGGTGTTGACTGTGCACAGAGGACTGGGGCCTGCTGCACAGGAGAAGCAGCGGAGTGGACAGGAAGCCTGAAGAACAGGCCTTGGAAACTAGGCTTTTCTACTTTGTTACTTTGAAACTTTTTTTCTCCTTACGAAGCTTTTCTGGTGCTTTTGTAAGAGTTGTGTGCGGTTGCCAAGGGGACCACAAGCCTCTGGGGGGCCAGGACTGTTCTGCCACCTGCCTGTGTGTGGGGACCATAGAGCGCAGCCCAGACCAGCCTCGGCGTGGATGGGACGCTCTGGTTGCTGCCCTGGAAACCAGGTGTCTGCCTCCGGCCCAGAGTGATTCCGTTGTTCCTGGCCTTCCTGTATGGGGGTGATTGACTGGTTATCGGTAGAGAAGTGGGCACTGAGCCCAGAGTAGATGACTTCCCCGTGGTCTCCGTGTTCCAGGGTGTGCATGCTCTATGCCCATAGGTCGCCACAAGGGGGAGCCTCAGGAAGCAAGCCCAGGAAGCTCCTCCTGAGCAAGAGGTCAGGCTTGGGTGAGGCTGGTCTGCCGCCTGGGTGGTTTGTCATGTTAAAGGAGGGAGGCATGTCTCCGAGAACGAGGGCCTTCTGCAGAGCTAGACCAGGAGATCTGGATAAATGTGTTCACCACCAACCAGCCTGGTGTTCCTCATTTACCCCAGTGCAGCCTACCTCACCTTAGGGTTGTCAGGGTCATACTAGATTAAGAGGCAACCAAATAGGAAGCCCGATTGCTTCCTTCCTTTCAAGTTCGGGGCTGTGTCTCTCTTCTTTGTTGATCTCCAGCCCATTCTCTCAGAATCCACCAGGAAGAGCCTTTATTTTTGTGAAGTGAGTGGAAGGTCAGGTAGGTGCTGAGTGGGGTGACTTTTTCATTGGTTATATCCCCCGGAGCGCTTTGTGTTTCAGTGAGACAAATTCTTACCAAGTCAAGCTGTGAATGCTCAGACAGTGGCATCAGGCTCATGGAGAAGTCTTAAATCATCCCCCTCTGGTGCTGCCCACGGACCAGGTTGGGTGATTTTGAAGCTTGGGCGATGGGTCCTCAGCTGTTCTGACAGTAGTATTTGTCTGGCACTATGTGAAGAGGAATGCATCCAGGTGCCTGGGTCCCTGGCTGTGCCCCCTCTGACTGCACATGAACAGAGTTTGGGGCAGGTGGTAATATTGCCATCATCTCTGGGGCACGAGTGAGTATACAAGTTAGTGCCAGCTCAGCCAAGCTCCTCTGGGAAAAGAGGTGCCCACTGTCTATTCTGGTACACCCCCCCCCCCCCCCCCCGACCCCACAAGTCTGGGCAAGGCTGTCAGGAAGTGCTCCAACGGGATACGGTGCAAGTGTAACTGCTCTGATCTTAAGCCTCAGCTGCAAGAGCTGGTCTCAGGTGTTTCCTGAAGTTCCTAGGCCCGGTTTGCTAGCTAAATGCCCTGTGTCAATACAGGCACTCCTAGAAGCCACACATGAGCAGTCGCAAGGCACAATGTCCCCCTTTCTCTTCCCAAAGCAGTAAACGTGCTGGGCCCCCGTCAAGGCCTTGTGAGTGCTGACACCCAGTAGGCGTTCAAAGAAAGTCCGCGCCTCCAAAACGAGTCAGGGGAGCCTGTGTGTGGCAGGAGCAGATCGGGCCTCAGGGACTCCAGAGGCCCGAGCCTGGTGTGGCCTTACACTCACTCCCAGCTCTGGGCGTGGCCTCCTCGTTTGTAAAACAAAGGAAGGTGGGGTGCTGGTGTTCAAGGACCTGAAGAACTGACGGTGGCAGTTCCTTGCCTCAGTCTTGAGTCAATAAATATATTGGACTAATTGGGTGTGTGCACGTGACCTGGTTCCTGCTCTCTAGTAGACAGCTGCCACACGGGGCAGTTTCCGGGTGGGCTGCTCCGCATTAGCCCAGGGACTCTGCCGCTGCTCGCACCTGCCAAGTTTCCCCACAGCACACCGCGGGGGGGGGGGGGGGGGTGCGCTCTAGGAATAGCAGTTGGTGTGCATCCGTGCCCATGGAGGTTTTCAGGACTCAGGTTTCTCACCTGTCCCCTGCTGGGCTGTGTCCCTGGGTGAAGTGGTTTGTTAAGTAATTGACTAAGCTCATATCACTGTGTGTGGTATAGCTGGTATTCAAACCCTGTACACTCTTCACTTATTATGGTAATGCTTTGTTCATCTCATATTGCTCCTGGGTCTTGGTTCAAGATTCTTCCCCTGGGGCCCTGTGGGGTCCAGCATCTGCTGTCTTTGACAGTCTTCCAGGTAGGCTCTGTTTGGGGGGCTGACCAATGAGGCCTTTGGGTGCCTGGAAGAAGTTTCCCCCTATCCCAGAGCCTCCTGACCTTCCTGTAGCTGGAAATGGCTCTGGACCCCTCTCCTGGTGGCTGACTCGCCTCCTGTCTAATACGGGAATGGCATATGGGGAGGCTCACATCCAATCTGCTGAGACCTCCCTTCTGGCCCTCTTGGCTGCCATTCAGCCCACGGAGAGAAGAATTCCCAGGCAGTCTGACTAACGAGCTTAGAATCCTGGCAGACAAGGTTGCTGGATACTTCTTAAGCCAAACCAGAATATTCAATGTCTAACCTCGTATCCAACCATCCAGGTCCCTAGCTTTCACTACTCCTTTCCTTCCTTTTCCCTCCCACTTTAACTGCAGAACAATCTCAGTCACTCAGCTGTCACCCCTTACTGCCATGTCCGTTTTCCCCTTGAGATGGAGTTGGGCTGATTCACCTTTTTCCTCCACCACATTGATCAGCTTGAGTGGATGAAAGGGATTAAGTGAGTGAAGTGGATAGTGGAGAGGGAGAAAGGGGCCTTCTGTCTCAGGGTGTGGTGTCCTGGCCAGACCTGCTCCTCTACCTACGCAGACTTTACTGCCCCTGAGTGGCTAGTAGGAGAGGTCAGAGGGGATGAGGGCTCTCTTAGGCTGGGAAGCAATGACTGCCCACTGTAGGGCCAACAGAACCGGGTGGCACAGGAAAGTGGGGCCAGAAAGGGAGAAGAAAAAAATAGAAGCAGAAGGATGAGTCTGGTACATGGAAGGTGGCCAGCAGGTGTTTAGAGGTGGACAAGTGAGCGAGTGATGACAGAGCCAGGGTGTCATAGGGCAGGCTGCCTGCTCCCAGAGGCTGGACTGTAGGAGGCCAGAAGTAGGAGTCAGGTGCACAGTTGAAGAGGTATAATTAAGGGTCATAAGCAGGCTTGGGGGTATAGCTCAGCGGTAGAGCATTTGACTGCAGATCAAGAGGTCCCCGGTTCAAGTCCGGGTGCCCCCTTCCTCAACTCACTTTTAGTGTGAAGTGCTAAATAAAGAGGCAAATGATTGCTCTTGTTACCCATAATTGGCCCTTGGCCCCCTACGGCCCCTTACTCCCCATATTGACTGTACTGTTCTAGGGTCTGTATTGTGCTCCGGCCAAAACTGTGCTAGAATCAAACAACACTAGGGTGGCTGTGAGAATTAAAGGAGGTTATGGCTTGTCATGCTGTGTGACAATGGCCAAGTCCCACTCCTGCCTTAGCAGGAAGCCAAAATGGTCCCCGGGTCAATGAGCACAAATGAGTGACATCACCTGAAGCCTTCCTGAGCTTTTCCCTTTGTTCTTCTTCCTCCCTTGGCCTGAAATCCTTGCCAGCTGCTTCTGGCAAACCCCTCCTTGTCCGTCTCCCCCAGGAAGCCCTGTCTGACTCCCCAGGCAGGGGAGTGCCTCACTCCCTGCTCCCGCGGCTCTCTTCTTGGGCTCCTGCCACTCCTGGGCAAAGTCTTTGGTTCATGATTTTGTTTCCTATTGGAACAAGGACAATGTTTTAAGCCCTCAATATGGTTGACAGGACCTGGTACCTCACATGTTCTGCGTTTGTTGAGTGACTGAATGAGTGGACCAATGAGCACCCTTCTTGAGACCTTAGAATAAGGAGGAGGCTCTCCCTCCACTGAGTGTGAGGTTCACTGAGGACGTGGAACTCACCATGATCGTTCTGATAAGTATGTGCTGGTTTAGGTAGAGACACTAGTGTAGTCTCAAATGGCCTTTCCAGGTGTAAAGGCTGGTGCCATTACCACAACCAGAGGAAGATGAGCGCTGAAGACTAGACAGTGGACCCGGTGAGGAGAGTTGCCATGCTCTGGGACATGCAGAAAAAACAGTGACCTGCAGGCAGGCAGCTATCCTGCATGCAGTGTCACAGGTGAAAAGGTGCTAATGAAAGATTATATGTAAGTGGGGGTATAGCTCAGTGGTAGAGCATTTGACTGCAGATCAAGAGGTCCCTGGTTCAAATCCAGGTGCCCCCTATTTCTTTGACCACTTTAGTTACTCAAGCTGGTGCTGGAATTTCTGCCTTTTCTTTTCACATTGGACTATTAAATGTGGTAAAAATTTAGGATTTGGATTGGCAACAGCTCCATGTGTCCTCCCCTGACCACCTATTGTGATCACATCAAACTGAAGAGACTGATGAAGTGAGCCCAAACCACCAGGACCCGGATGCTGGTCCTTCATGGCTTGTGTGAGGAATTCCCCTTCTTTCCATTAATACCTTCATTTCCTCAGCCTCCTGAAAGAAGGCTGACCCCTTATTCTTGTTGATACCACTTGTGAAGTATGGAAATAAATCTTTCTACTTACCAATGGTGAAGGGTTTAAT